ATGCATCAAACAGGTCTCATCTTCTTCCAGTCTTATCCTCAAGGAGAACAGCAGAAGCTTGGTTTTCTTTCTGATCACTTTTGTCACACAACACGATAGCTGTACTATCACCATGGAACATCCAATGCTGTTAGAATTTGCTTTAGGCTGAGTCATAAACCATGAACTCTAAGTAATTATTGTAATACTGGGTGAGAAGACTAACAACAGCACTTACTGGAAAAGATTTAATGGACCAGACAATTTCACTGTTCTCTGGAACCCATTTGACACTTCCAACAGTGGTTTTAAACTTTGGTGAGTCTGCATCATTTGGAACTGGAATGTGAATCTCCACATTGTTGGCCGTTGATCTACGCTTAAACTGACTTTTTGCCTAAAGAAAAGTGAGAAAAATCACATCTCTAAGCATGAACACTATGCATGTAAATTCAGAGAGCTGCCAGACAATTTCCCTCTACCACAGTCTACTGAGAGGCAGCACAACGCAGAACGTACAAATCAACTTTTCTAAAGAGAAAAGTCCCAGGGAAACAAGAGGTGGTTGTGTAAGAAGGTGCTGCTGGTGAAGCACTGAAAACAATCAAAAGAGAAGACAAACCAGCCATAATTATTTTAGAACTTCTGACCTTGATCATGTACTCGATGCGGCTGTGGGAATGTTTTTCAATCACGGACTCAATCCAGATCAGTGGCTTCACCTGATGGGAAAGATATTTTACAGCTACAGACTTTACTTTGCCATGGTCACAAAGCTGTCATTTCCTCATAAAAATGCACTGAATACACGAATTCCATAAGCAAGAACTGACACACAAGCAAAAAGCAGCAAAAACTGGCAGGCGTTAGGGGAAAAAAAACTAAAGTATTTCTCAGATTAGTTCCTAACACCTTCAGTTGTCAAACATTTCTCCACGTATGTGCAGGCTTTTCTGGTTTGTTTTCTTTAACTGCTGCTGGCCTCCTATCACAGCTGACAATCACAGATGTCCTCTGCACTAAGTATTTCCTTTTCTAAGGAAATGGCAGTGTGCACAGTAGCTGTTACCTTGAGGAACCACAATGCAGAATGCTGACATACTCCAAGAAATATTTAGAGGACAAATTAACATTGTCAAGCACAACAAATTGCCACACTAATTGTATTGGGTGATTAGCTTAAAAATGAACTGATCAGTGTTTTGAAAACAGTTTCAGTAGTAGTTGAAAAGATAAAGACTTACTGCCAAGTCATTCCTAAACTCATTCTTACTTGCTCCAAAAAGAGTGAGCACAAAGCTCTGCTATTAATGGCTGACTTCACAACTACTGTGCTGCCCACACTTAGAGAAAAAACAGAACACATTAAGGGAAAGCCATTAGCAAATCTACAGACTACATGATTCTGTAAAAAACTGCTGCAGTTCAGACCCAAACACCCAGACTTACGTGGGTATTGAGACGATAGGACATGAGCTCAAACTCCCCATCAGGTGGAATGAAAGAAATGGTCCTGTCGTTCTCAAAGCGAGAGAGACGAACGCACTGATGGAACTTCACATCTTCCAGCTCCACTGATTTACTTTTGCCACCTAGCAGAAAACACACATCAACACTGCAGATCGCTGCTCCCATTGCATGAGGTCACATCGCAGCGTCACGCAGCAGAGCAGATCCCTGCTGATATCCTCCTGGTTCAGCCCAGTAGTTTTTCTATCTCTCCCAAAGTCCCAGCAGATGAGGCAATGAAGCCCAGATGGCTTCCACACCCACTGTGGTATTCCATCTTCTCTTGGTATTGGCACACAAGACCTAACATGCTTTCCTGCATAGACAACACAAGTCTTTTCATCACAGAATCAATCCTTTCACTTGAACCCCACCTAAGTTTGCCGAGAACACCCATCACAATTCTGAAGGTATTGCTGAAATACTCACGGCCTGTGTTATCAAAGAGAACTTTGTCATTTAAACCAAGGCGAAGCTCTGGCATTCCTGAGAGAAAGACTCTCATCTTAATGGACCCAACTATTTCACTCCGTAATACGTTTCCATTGGCACTGACCTGAAGGGCAATGAAATAGAAGATAAAGGTTGCTGACACGATATGATGTGAGATCAAACTGCAACCACACTCCGTCCTCAGCCCCCAGGCCTCCATGGGTGCCTTTCTCCCGAGCAACAACCCAGCACAGTACAGTCAGACCAAGGACAAGGCAGGATTAGACTGAAGGAGGCAGGAAGGATGTGCCAGAAACTCAGCTTTGGGGCTGCTGAGCACAGAGCACAAATTCCAGTAAAGCATCACTTATTTACCTATGGATGTCATTATAGATTGTCAGTCCTAAGCACAGACAGCATCCAGGGCACTCATCATGGTTAGGCTGATTTTTTATTATATCCTTTAGGTTTTCAGCCAGTAAGTTCTCCTCAAGACTTCTACTAATAATTCTCATTAAAAGTTCAAGTAAAAGGTACCCACCAAAAGGTTAACAGACTCTATAACATCCAGGAACACTTCATTCTTCCTATATTTTATCCCTTCTGATCTCCATGAAACAGCATTTGTAACAGTGGCAGGTGGACGTGGAGCTCCAGTTTCAAGTTTGTGACCCTCCTGAGTGATGTACCTTTATAAACACATAATTAGAACAAAAAAGAAATGTTTGCAGCACCTTTTGTATCAGATTCACATCATCAATAAATCAATTGGATTTACAAAGCTACACTTTACCAAGTATTAAATATTTTGATAACTAGAGGAGGAAGCCAAAGCATTTGTTTGCATATAGAATACATAAGACTTTCCCAAGGACTTACAAGTGTAAGCAGTACAGACAGATACTTACTCTTGTAAAATTTTGCTATCAGTGGTTTGTGGGTATCCAAAATCCATAAGCTCATCTAACAACTCATAAATAATAACAAAATTATCTCTAATGCTCTCTTCTTCCAACTCCTTGAAATATTCAGAAAAAACCTGAAACACCAAAAACAGAGGGAGGAGAAAAAAGGACATCAGCTGAGGAACTACAGCACATTCTGAATGTATTCCTATACCTAAGAAGAGTTTTGGGGAAAAAAATAAAAAATAAGAAAATCACCAAAACAAAACCTATAATTCCTAAAAACCTTTTTGTTCAGATAAGCAGCAGGAAACCCACCTCAATTAGGAGAGAGTTACAGAGCCCTCAGAATAACTCTGGTGATTACAAAGCATATTAACATTGGGGAAAACGCTTGTGATGCCAAGTCCAAATTAACCAAACACAGAATCTACAGATGGCACGACTCATGCATCAACGTTTTCCTCCACATTTTCAGGTCTTGTGCAGCTTCTCACAGCACCGTGTCACATCCTTGCTACTCAGTTATAAAATAGCAATTCCATCATTAGCAGTTAGGAAAACTTTTCTATAAAATAGTCAAATATAAAGGAAAAATACTATTACTACAGATTCTTTTTAATAAGGTGAAAGCTCTATACAATTTTATTAGATCCCACTAACAAACAGATGGGAGTTACATCTGCAACTTCCTACTCACCTGAACTACTTTATATAAAAATGAAAACACCAGTGATACACAAGCATTCTTCTTAGAAGTTGCAACAACTAATGAAGGATGTTCAGGAACACGCATTCAAAGTCATCGTGGGATGAAAAAAATTTACTGAATGTGTTTTTAAAAGCATTGTGAAAGGGGCAGCCTGATCTGCTGCCTGATTTAGTGGTGCACAGCCCTGGCTGAGGCAGCAGGGTTGGGACTGGATGATCTTTGAGGTCCCTTTGACCCAAGCTGTCCTGTGATTCACTCAATGATCTGTCTGCAGCACAAAGGATACGATAGAGGTTGTTATGTTTAATCCACATGAAACGAACTCCTCCATGCGCCAGAATAGGAGAAAGCGTTCCCTCTTCTTCCTTTTCCATAAGGATTGGCATAAAATGCTCCACCTCCGACATGTCCACATCCCCACGGTAATTCCGACAGATGAGAACCTACGGGAAGAACAATTCCTTACACTTCTCCTTCGAGACATGAAGTCACCATGCAAGACCAGCACATGAGATACTTAAAGAGCCTCTTTAGCTGAAAAACCCCAACACCAAGCTTCAGTCAGGTCTACGCATCCTACAAACACAAAACAAAGAACCAACACACGTTATGATTCGAATGCAAATCCCCACGTTTGCAGTCGTATCTCCTAGCGTTACCTCTCACATACGGCTGCAGACACCCCGTTTAAGACGGAAAAACAGGTCACTCTCCTGGGACAGACCGCGTCCCATTAGGGCGGAGATTAATTACCCCAGGCGGGATGCTCGGGAGCCCCGCAGGCAGGGCCGCTCCCCGACTCCTCCTTCAGCACCCGGAACCGCGAGGAGCGGACACGGCGGGCCCGCCTCACAGCTGGGTGCGCAGCGCCGGCAGCAAACAGCGGGCGGGAAGGGGAAGCGGCGGCCGCAGGGCAGCGAGGCTGGGGAGCCCCGCCATGCCGGGCCCTCGGAACCCAGCGCGCGCCCGACGCTCTCAGCAGCTCGGCTCTCGTGCAGCCCGCAGCTGCAGCGCGGCCTCACCTTCCCCTTCAGGTCCAGCACGTAAACGGCGCTGGCCGACATCGCGCCGCCCGGGGCCCCCGCGCCCGATCACGGCCACGGCGACTTCCGCTTCCGGCCAGCACTTCCGGCGGGAAGCGGCTGCGCGAGGCGCAGCTGCCGAAGCCCGGCAGCGCGGAAGGATACGCGCGGTGATCCGCCGACAGAGGAAGAGCGCTTTATCGGCCGTGCCCTGCTGTTAAATAGTCCGCGGCCGGCTGCGGTCCGCGGAGGAGAGTTGGGAAGGCTGAGGAGCCCCGGGGGGATCAGCGGTAGCGGAGGGAAAACGCTTGGGCTGAAAAAGTGCGTGAGGATTTGTGATGTGATTCACATCACTTCTGAGGGAGGGCTGTGAGTGTCAGCGCACACGGACTGCATGCAGAGCACTGCCCCTGCTGTGCGGGCAAAGGAGCACCAAAACAATGGCTGAAAGCAGCGTTTTAATAAGTTACATCAAAGATACGAGGGTTTTAGAATACAGCAGAAACCACTCCCCCCAACTCTGAGCGATTTCGGATAGGAATTACACAGTTCTGCAATTTATGAGAGCAGCTGCCACAGAGAATCCTGCTCCTAATGAGACCTGCTGGCATAGGACAAATAGAGGAACATTGCCTGTTGTCTCACAGCAGTTGGGTTTGGCCTTAGTGTGGCTTTGAGCACTGAAAAACACCCCTCTGCACCTACATAAGTCAGCGGACAAGAAGAGACTTTGTTGAGTATTCTGAAACTGAAATACAACAGTACAAGGTGATAAATGTTCCGAAGATGCACTGAATATTCAGTACCAAGAACACAGAGGTTTACACGGCAGCCCAGTTTGACGTAAGCAGAACTCCCCATCCAAACGCCGCCATTCACTTGGTCCAGCTGACTTTGGGAATGTCGTAGTGCTCGGTCAGGGTGTCCAAGTGCCTGTTGAAGTCCTGCGGGACAGAGGAGGCACAAAGCACTCAGGATCGGAGCATTCACCGACGCTCAGCCCTCCTCACAGCGCCGCGTTTCCCCTGCGGCTCCACCCGCTGAACCCCGGCTGGTTCCACTCACCTCAACTCTCTGCTTGTGGGTTTTCGAGGCCTTCTTCAGGATCCTCTCCATTTGCTGTTAGGAGACACGACAGCACCGTTATCGGCGCGGGGTTCCGAGCCCGCCCCACATCCCGTGTGGGCCGGGCTCGGCAGGCCGCCCTACCCGCTTCTCCTGCATCTTCTCGTAGGCCACTTGTGCCGGGGTCCGCTTGTCCAGGCCGCGCTTCTTCTCCTCTTCCTGCTTCTTGCCGCTCACGATCTGCTCCAGGATCTGGGCCTTGTCCTTCGCTTTTTTCTTCTTCCTGCGGGCAGACGCCGCTCAGCGCCCGGCCCCGGGCCCCGGCCCAGCTCCCGGTTCCCCCCCCGCCCCGCCGCTCACCGCTTCCCGGCCCCCGGCCCCGCGCCGCCGCCCTTCAGCCGTAGCGGCCCGCGCTGCACCGCCTCGTATTCCGCCATTTCTCGGCGGCCGCGCTGAGCAGCGCCCTCTGGCGGCAGAGCGGGCAGCGCGCGAGAGCGATGCAGCCACGGCGCTGAGGTAAAAAAACGCTACCGCCCGACCGCGCGCTCCGAGCTGCCCGGCCCGCCCCGTTCCGCTCCGAACCGACTGAAAGCCAGTCGCTGCCGCTTGTCGTAAGGCGCCGGGGTGAGCTGTAGTGCTGCTGCCAGTTCTGCCCTCGCGTTTCACATTTAACTCACAGTTCTGTTCTTAAGTATGAACGATGCGTTCTCTCATATTTTCAGTGCAAAGCCATATACGGGCCTGTATATATGTCAGCTTGTCACCGTAATGGCCATTTACTAGAGATAATGAGTGCTAATGGAGGAACAGGGGGCCAAGAGGATTGTACAGATGTTGCCCCAAGTACAGCTGACATCAGTGCATGATGTGGAGAAAAACGAGACAGGAGAGGCAGCGCTGGCAACACTGCGAGCAGCTCCGAGCGCTCGGTGCAAGGAGAGGCATTGCCAGTTGTCGGGCAGTCTGCCGTCCGAAGGCACGGAGATGTGCTGCCCACCAGAAGCATCAGCACGGCTCAGTGCTGTAACATGAGGCTCTGTGCACACAGGCAGGTGAGTGATGCTGGATAAGAGCCGTGAGTAGCCAGACTGGAGATGTGATGAAGTGCTCCTATGACGGCTGTTTGCGACCCGTGGAATAGGGAAGCTGGTTATTTGATCCTCTGCTTTACCCGAACCTCATTGTTGCAGCTTTTAATATCTGGATATCCAGGCCTCCTATAAAAGTGACTGAGGAAAGAATGATGGGACAAGAATCAGCGTTCAGAGCTGGACATGGGCAACAAGCAAACCATTTTCACTCCAGAGCAGCTGGATGCATATCAGGTACAAAACGAACCAAGTGAGTCTTTAGACAGAACACTGAATAATGGTGTTGCTGCTGTTTTTTTTAAACAACCTCTTTAAAAATTAGTAACTAAGAGCATTGAATTACAGTGAAGATTTTGGTAAGATACTTTGGTAAGATTCTTACATCAAGAAAGGTTATAAAGTATTCCTACTTATGTACAAAAAGAAAGAGTATTGATGGTCGGCCACGTTATCATTCTGTTTGAGTCACTGTAGTGGAAGAGTCAGGGCCAATGAGTGCTAAAAAGTGCCATTAATATGATGCCTTATTTCACAGGACTGCACATTCTTTACAAGGAAAGAAATTCTGAGGTGAGTCTTGTGTGTTCTGTGTGTAAAATACAAAGATTGCTACAAAACAGATTATATAAAAGATGAAGTACATTTAAAAGTATTTTTAATGCATTTATACAAAATTGAAGTCATACATTGGACAATGTGAGCTTTTTTCTTTTTTTTTAATGTACAAAAACTACCTATGCAGTCTATCATAAATGAATCCAGAGTTTTAAATTTTCTGTGAAGGTAACATCTCCATACCATAACTATAACAAGGTGTATTCTAGTGTATATTTTGCTGCTGACACCCATGTGCCCCTCACTTCGTTTTAGGACAAGTGCTTCAAAGCGTCCTGTTGTACCTCGGGACATGTTGCCTGTTTTAAGAAATCATGAATGATTGTATCAAATTTTATTCACATTTCCTTCATGTAAATAATCTGCAGCAGTTACTCGGAGGCGCTTTTTTCTCAAAGCCTTTGTGAACTTCATCAAGTGCTGCGTTCAACCCCTGGCCAAAGGATCTGGTGTTCTGTTCCTATACGACTAAGACTTTTCACTGAAAACAACTCTTTGGTTTCTGCACCTCTCAAGCAGTCATCAGGCATTGCTTGCTAATTTCTCTGAAGCATGGGGTATGAATGCCAATTTTGTACAGAATATCCCCCTTTAGAACTTTGATGTCTGTGTATGAATTAAATATTGAATAAAATACAAAAGATTCTGTAATAACTGAAATTTAAATCTGCCTTTCCTTGTAGTAAGTAGATGCCAGAGCCATAAGTGTGTAATGAATAAGACATTTATTATTGATAAGAACCCCTTTTAAAATTCTAACCTATTGTTTTGTTGATAACAGCTATGAATGGGATCTTCACACACACAAAGGGATGAGGAAAATAGCAAGCTGACAAAGTGCTGATACATTCAGATGACTGTGCATACATTCTGTCTCCCGAACCTGACCGCTGTGGAAAAAATAGAGATACCTGTGGTGAATGAAAACCTGTTAAGCTGTTCTGAAAGCCCGAGGGCTTTGTGTTTATCACCAGTTTCACTATGCTGCTTTTTTAACGTTGTCTCTTCCACTGACGTCAACTACAGAGTACAATAAATGTTATTTAGGGACTGGTTCCATCCTGGCAAAGGATGCAGAGTGTGAAGAGCAGGTAAGGCAGACAGTCGTTCTCAGAGGTCTGACAGCTTGTTCCCTCAGCCAGCCTTTCTCTCTCTTTCAGGCTGTTCCACAGATACCGAGATCTGGCCCCGCAGCTCGTCCCCCTCGACTACACCAGCAGGCCCACGGTGACACTTCCCTACCAGCTCATTGGCAGCATGCCGGAGCTGAAGGTACGCAGCAAGGAGCACAGCTGGAATCAAGTGACACAATTCAGTTCAATCAACCATTTTTAATAATTCATCCAGTTCTAATTACTAAGGGGATGAAATACAAATAAATTTTGCTTACTAAAGTCAAGCCGTTCTGGAACCTTCTAATGATTTCCTGAAAACACCCTGAAAGTGCACAGAGGTTAAAGAAGGCAGCAGCTGTGCCTAACAGATTAGACAAAAACATAATAGCAGAAAAAAGGAGTATTTGCCTGACGAAAAGGGGTTACCAGAAAAATTACTGGGCAGCAGTTTTCTTATCTGCACTGAAATAAATGTCATAGGGACGACCTTCCCTCAGTGCTGTGTTCTGTTTCCCAGGACAATCCGTTCCGCCAGCGGATCGCAGAGGTTTTCTCAGAGAGCGGAGATGGCAATATGACTTTAGATGACTTTTTGGACATGTTTTCTGTGCTGAGTGAGATGGCTCCCAGAGACCTGAAAGCTTATTATGCTTTTAAAATTTATGGTGAGTGACCCAGGCAAACAGAACCAAAACCAAAAAAAGGGAACGTTGAGGAAAAGCTGCAGCTGCGCACAGGAATGCAAAATGATCCATTTTGTGACTGTAATGGTTTCTAGTTAGGTATGTCTTCATACAGCATTTCTCTCTGCTTACATTTGAATGCCCACTCTTTCTCCTAGAAACTTCTGGACCCTATCATCCTATTGTCTCTTATTTATTTGGGATTAGGATTTACTAAAAAATTTGCAACCTGAAAGTATCTTCAGCTTTCAAGAACTGATAAAACATTTAAGAAACAGTTCTGTCTGAGAAGCTGCTTTGAAAAGTGAAAGGGAAGGGATTTGGCTGCCCAGGAAGCGGTGGGGTTTGGGCTGGGTTTGGCTGTGAGGGGGAGATCACGCCTCCAGCAATTTCTCTAAGGGCGAGTTCATTTGTTGTTACTTTCCCCAGGATCAGCCACAGCCAAACAACAGACAAAAAACCCCACAACCAATCGGAACAAAACCCACAAAACAACTTTTTTTTCTTACATTAAGTAGTACACGATTGAGCACAGCCTTTAAGTGAACCCCGCCAGAACTGAGCCATTATCTTCCCTTCTGCTCTTTCGTGCCTCTAGTTCAGTAGTGCTCATTTGCTAGAATAGCTTAATTATGGCTTGAGTATAATTAACTACTGCGCTATTTACGATTGTTACCTTTGGTACGACAGGGAGACACAAGATTGTTATTTTGTTGCTACATGTTTATACCAACACACATCACTTCCCTTCTCTTTTGACCGCTCTAAAACGAATCCTTACTTGCCTGGAAACCAAACCCTTCCTATTGGCTCTTGGCAGCCAGCCATGTGGAGTGCTGTTTTTCTCACTCTGAATTCTTTTTGTTTCTTCTGACAGATTTTAACAATGATGATTACATATGCAAATCAGACTTGGAGAAAACTGTGAACAAATTAACCCGCAATGAACTCACCCCAGAAGAAGTCAGCCTTGCATGCGAGAAGGTGATTTATGAAGCTGATCTGGACAACGACGGAAAGCTTTCTTTGGAAGACTTTCAGCATATGATAATTCGAGCTCCGGATTTCCTCAGGTAATATTGGATTTCAGTTTGTAACACCCAACTGCTCTACTGGAAGCTGTGAAACGCTTCGGCTGCTGAGTGGTTTCAGATCCCTGCTCTTCCCCAGCAGTTTTGGTAGAGTTGCCCACCACAAAGACTGGGAAAACACGCGTGAGAAAGCATGAAGCCTTGCATTTGTATTTCACTGTTGCTTTTCGAACCTCTTGTGTCCTTTTTACATGATAGAATCTCCTACTAACTGAGAAAGTAAATATTAGCATGCAGGCTCCATTGATGAATAGCTGAGAAAAGCTCATTCAATGTGCAATGTGGCCCAAGCATGCTTTCTGATATACAAAACAGCATTCCAAATCTTGCATTTATTTAATGGAACAATTCTTTGCAAGTGATTTGAAAAATAGTTTCCAACTTAAACTACAGTTTTAGGAGTAATGACAACGAATCCCTTTGAATGGAGTAAAGTGATTCGTAAGTGATTTTGCTTCCTTTTTTAACAGCACATTTCACATTCGAATCTGAACGTAGCAAAACATAAAGATGAGAGCGCTGCTTCTTGAACAGTTTGGAAGTGGAACCGGTCACAGAACTCACCTTAAAAGGAAAAGTTCATCTTCATTGAATTTTCCCTGTCACTACACAACAGTGTTTCTATGAAATTACCTGTTCCCACCTCCTTCCCTCACCAAAGCAGTGATGTGGAAAAAAAATGTGTTTTTTTAAGCTGGGGAACCACCAGGTATGGGGCTGTATGAAATTACAGCTTCTTAAACAAAGGCCCTATGAAAATACCCCTATATCCATTGAAAACCCCACGTTATGGACTCATGCTGCATGCAGGAATCTCTGTACTGTTCCTACTGAACTTCTCCTTTTCCCCTGAGACAAAGCCAGCTCTAGGTTTAGGAAAACCTCCAGAACTTGGTTTTCCTCAGAGAACACAGACTGAGAAGGTGCTCAGCTCAAGTTCTGAGGTTCAGAGAATGCCACCTATTCAAAAATAGATTCAAAAACAGGATGGTTAATCTAAACTGTGTAACCAGCTCCTCTGATGTCCTTTAACAGCCTTAACAAATGATTCAGTCAATCAACTGGCCCAACTATTCTCCTAGCGTGTCACTGACGCCTGATGCAGGTTCTAAGATGGATAAAGGGAAGATTTATTCAGAATTTACAATTTACAACTTAAACAACAAAAAAAACCAACAAAACCAGATCCTATCCTGTGTTCTTGGCACTCTTCCCTGTTTTTGGCAATAGTTTTCCACAAAAGGATCTGTGTTTTAATGATGAACCAGACTGATAAACTGATTTTTTTAAGTTCTCTTTTCATAAGAAGTTTATTTATGCAGTGCTCAGGGTCCTGTACAGAGTAAAAACATACATACTGTAATAAACAACAGTTCTGTCTTTCATACAAACATCAAAATCAATGAGAAGTGTTTAAGAAAGCAGTGGTAACGTGGGAAAGGTGGCAGCCAAGAGTGGGCCTTCTAAGTGCAGTTTACAGTTGCTTATGAAAATATTGCGAGTGTTCAACTCCCCTCAGAACGAAGTCATGAGTCCCAGCTCACGCTCAGCTCAGAGCTCAGTTCCTGCAGGGGCTGGAGAGCAGCCTGCTGCACTTCGATCAGCTTCAGAAGACAAAATCTCCAAGCATCAGTGAAAGAAATGGGTCAAAGAATAAAGCAGCCTGAAATAATCAGACTGTGATTACCATTAATGTTCCATCGAACAGAGCTTTATTTCATCTATAAATGAAGACACACCTCAGTCACCATTCTTTCCCAACCCCTGTGAACTTGTAGCAGAAATGGAGACCGTTCTTTCAGCGGTCATTTGTCCATTTCCCCTCCAGCATAACCTCCATCCATTTCACGTCCAAGAAAACAAGAAATCCCGGCAGCTTTTGAGCATGAGCATCAGCCAAACCACCACCACAGCAATAAAACCCCTTACAGTTGTCAGTAAGATGATTACTATCCCACACGAAAGGAGACCAAATAATTCCCAGCAGCAGCAATGAGACTTACAATAATCCATAGGATTTATAAATCTGAGGCTGAAAGCCTGATGGCAGCACGAGGCTCTGATGTCGTGGGACATGAGATGTGCAATCAGCACAGGAACTGGACAGGCAGAGTCAGCACTAAGCAGCAGTTCCAGCATGCACTGCAAATCAGCTGACAGGTCTGCACCCAAAGGGTGAAATCTATCCAGCATGCTGCAACCAGCCTCAAAAGTAAGGTCAACCACAGAATGCTACGATCCTCATCGAAGTAAAGGAATTTGAGAACATGCTCAAAAATGGGTTTGTTTCTCTACAAACCAAGTGTTAACTGATTACCTGGCATTTTAGTGGTATTTAGATGTAGAAAATGTGTGGCAAGCACATTCTCAGCTTTTCAGATCTACTTAAATTCCTGTTTTATAGATTCTGTATCCAATTTCAGATTTGTTCTTAGTTAACAAAAGCTTACATATAAATGCATTCCTGCATTCGGTGACACAGAACCTTTTTGAACATTGTGTTTTTGTAATATTCGTGCTTAAGAAAACACAGTAATTAAATTACGTGATGGAAACGTCAACTGCATGTTGTATTTATGCCAGATTTGATGTCAGCATTTGGCAACACGCAGCCCAGCAGAAATGCCACTGCGGCGTCTTTAAGCTCTCCCTGCCCCATCCTTGCATTCTAGGTTTCATATTGTTTGCACTGATTCCATTTCTGCATGGAGTCTGCAGACCGCAGGAGCACAGCGATGGCTGCAGGTCGCAGTGACTGCACAAATTCCTGAGATTGGGCAGTAACACAGCTGTTCACTGAGCAAAACCCATCGGATCAGAAAAGGAAATCATGCTGTAAGTTGTATTATATCGACACGGCAACAGCCAGCGTAAGTTTGACCAAAGGTGTTCACAGACAAAGAGCTTTTAATGCAAAAGGGTGACATAAGATTTAGCAAATGGAGGCTGACAAACGACGTGGTTTGTAAGTTAATGCAGTACTTCTTTCCTATCTCAAGGCAAACAACTGAGATGCTGTCGTGGCAAGGCCTGCTGTCGTGGTGCACAGCCTGCTGACAGCAGGGCAGACTGAGCACTGATTTTCCCAGTCACTTCCTGAAGTAACTCTGGCTGCAACATCTGGCTACATTAAAAGAGGTGGCTGGATGTGAGACAATCCACGGGTACCACTAAGCCAGAAACAAAACATGAGGCAGATCTGATTTAAGCACCTCAACTCGGCACCGTAAGTCCTTGCAGTCTTTTTTTCTTAAAAAAAACCCCAAACATTCTTATCTCAGGGTAGCAGCAGTGCTTGTCCAGGCTGTCCCTCTGTAGGAACTGTCCTTTGAAGCACCAGAAGGTTCTTCAGTGCCTTTATGTGATTTTATCCTACCAGAACATCTGTGTCCCACTGACTGTGCTGCACTGTCACCAAGTCCTCACGCTAAAAAGCCACAAGCAAACAAAACAAACATTACAAGGTTCTGCTTGGAGGAAGGTTTCACATATAAATTTAATAATGAACAGAGCTCATTGTAATCTGCTATTAAAAACAAGTTGGTGGCATTTAAAATGCATTTTTAAGCCAGTAACTCACACAGTACAATTTCCTTCTTCCTTTTAGAAAGCAGGCAGTATTCCTGGTGAGCTCAGCTGCATGCTGCAGATAAGTTTAAAAATCTATCAGATTTATAATTAACTCCAGTAACACTTAGGAGTGCTCCTCTGAGGCCGAGACAGATTACCAGAAAACTGAAGAAAACAAAGCTGGTAAGTAATCATTATTAAATCATTAACTTTAAAGTGAGCTTTAATTTTATCCTTAAGTGCAGTTTTCAATGTAAACAAAGCAGCACACGAACAGTTCCAGTGAGTTGCAGGACACAGCTGATACGTTCACTTGGGTTAAATATACCATAACTCCAATTACTGACAGCAGACTTCTAAGCAGATTGCTCTTACTGGCTCCTTGTATTAATCTAATTAGTCAGGCTTACAGCCTCTCAAATGAGAGCAATTAGTTACCCAGGTGCTTTACTAGGCTGTTACATTTTATACAATGGAATGTAATCGACGTGTTGGTAAGAATAAATATTTCCACTGAGGACTAAACATCATTTGCATTGATGCATGCTATTAACAGGTTGCTGCTGCTTGAAATCTGCAATGATCAATACATGGCAGCAAGGCAAATCTCAGCTTTAAAAGTTTGTTTTCAGAAAGTGTTCATATGTGCAACATTTATTTGCATATGTGAGCGAGTGTGCATCAGATCACACAGCTGGAAGCAGTGCAAGACATTTTCCGGTCACAATTTATAACTAGCTTCTACATCAGGACAGATCGGGGGCTGTTTTCAACTAGAGAAGGAAGAGCTGCTCCCTGGGGTGTCCAGGTGGGATACGTGTCCCCGGGGGCTGTTTCCCCAAAAACTGAGTGCAGAACATCTGCAGCTCTCCTGCTGGATGTGCAGCCCGCTTAATTACGTCTGGTCATCTGTAACCCGGCTAAAGGAACTCCTGGCAGTGCGGAACCAGCACCCCTACAGCACACTTTGCTTTCCCTAAAAAACAGAGATTCCTTTCAATTTCCTTTAAACTCCACTTGTACTCATGGATTGTCTACAACACAGCTGAGTCAGAACAGCAGCTCGAGGAATTGTCTCCCTAGTAGCAAGAAGGAGTTGTGCACAAAGCTTCCTTATAGCCTCTGGGAAGGCGCAGCCCGGACTGCCTACGTGAGTGCATTCATTGTTGCTTTATATGCATCCAGACACAGATCTGCAGATGTACCAAGTACATGCACCTGTACTTTATTGATATTGGCATTTCAGTTTCTGATTTTGATTATAACTTCATCTTTCTAATTTGGATACGCTAGAGATACAAACAGTGAGATTGAAGCCTGTCAGCAGAGGTGCTCTTACAGGTCACGTTCGATCTGTGCTCCTCTGCCACACAATGCCTGCCCCGTGGCAATCTGACAAAAATAAACTTGTTTCATCTCCAAAATTGAAGAGTCAGACAATTACTAAAATAAACAATTTCTTATTCAGATGGTCACAGAGTGACAAGGTTTGCTGGAAACGCTACAGTCCACAGACAGAGAAGTCTCACTCAGAGCAGGCACAGTCCAGTTGGGCTGAGCAGGCGCTCAGATTAAGGCTGTGTCCCTCACAGAAGAACACATCGGAAAAAGCTGCTTTTCTTTTGCTGGTCTGGTGTGATTTTGACTCCCTGGTTGCTGCCCTGTGGGCTATTGCCTTCCTGAAGATGCAAAGAATTTCAGTTACTTATTTATACTTAACAGCTTCTACTGCCTATATTTCATCTCTACGTTTTGATGAATCAAATCTGTAATTATACAAAAAACATTACTAGAAATCGGCAGGAGCTTTCACTCACTTATTTGACCCTTCGGTTGCATCAGCCTCTGTGAAAAGTCAGAGCTGCACATCCTACTTTTGGCTTTGACCAACAAGCACAGAGCCTGCTCTCCTTTCCATCAAGCCAAAGACAGCAGAGACCACAAAAGTTACAGGACGTGTTTGGTTTGTGCTCAGTACGTCAGGCTGTCGGTACAGGTAGAAGTGATGGGATTTTCTTCATGAAATGAAGCTAACAAAGTGTGAAGCAGACCTTCCATACTCTAACCTTACACCATTCACTTTTCCTGACTGCAGGAGCAAGAAATACCGTTAGCAGCTCTCCTCTACCACTCATGTGGCTTTCTAAAAAACACACTGAAAGATTTTGTTCAGAGAACATCAACCACTGCAGCTGATTCATGAAATGCAGACACAATGGTTTATAAGCCATGGGCAGAGCACAGCTCACTGAAACTGAAGACAACCTCTGTGACCTTTGTGCATTCTGGTCAGAGGCCACGAGAGGCCATTTGCTGTGATGCAGTTCTTGGTGTTAATTCTTACGTTTTTTCCTCTCCATTTAAACACAGTTTAGCCTAAGTAGAAGTCACTTACCAACTTCTTGTCCATTTTTGCTTTGATATCTCTGGCAAGAGTGAAAAATGCCTGCATAAGGAAAACAGTTGAAGGAATGCAGTTAATAAAACACGCTCTTAGCTGTTTTCTTTAATAATAATCTGCCCTCCTGACTTCAGTAGCCCATGTGAAGTATCTGCAGTTGAGTTTCGCACCCAGTCAAGAGGGGCAACTGCTCTTACTGCTGATCTGCACACTTTATAAGATAATAAATACAAGAGAAAAGTTGCAGTACTTACATTCTCTATGTTTATATTTGCTTTTGCGCTGGTCTCCATGAATTTAATTCCAAAACTCGCTGCAAGCTGAACAAAAGCAGGTTTGGTGTTAGTTGGGTGGCTGCAGGAATGGCCATAAATGCAATGAACAGCGCGGGATCTCCACAAATCAGGAGCTGAACTGCATTGCTGCTGGCATCTGTTCTTACTGGGCTTTGCTCCTCTGCTTCATACTTCATGCACATTTTCATCTGCTCCTTTGTCTTTAAATATCCACGTAGATTTTTAACAGACACCTTGCCAGTTCTGTAACATCTGCGGTACACAGAAGTACTTTCTCTACTTTGACTAACATCCAATGCCAGAAAAAACAACCCTGTCTACCTTTGTTTCACAAAAAGGGCCATTCCTAAATGCTTTTCTTTCTTTGGCTGAGAATTCAGCCAGTTACTTGGCATCTAACACGTCTCAAGCAGACAATCCATCAGCATTCTACACAGACTCATCTTTTTGTTGGACTGGGAAAATATTTTGCAACTGCAGCTTGGGAAGCATTCAGGAGCTGCACTCAGAATTACCAGTGAGCCACTGAGGAAGCACACACACAGTAATGAATGCTGCTCTTACACTCTGACAGCTCTGTCAGCACACCTTAAAGTGGGGACACTGCGGGGCAGGAGGTGCATTCACTGCACAGACCAGGGAATGATAGCAATGACTGCTTCAGAAGTGGGAAATTATTGAATAAAAGGTATTTTAATGCTCATAAAGAGGACTTCATTGCTCAGCTCAGGAGAAAATGCATGAAGACCGAATCCAAGAGGGAACATCACCATGCCTCAGTTCTCTGAGAAGAACTGCATCACTTCAGACCAGGTTCTCCTGAGGCTGCAGCACAGACTGCTTCTGCTCAGGCAGCAACTGCATCAGTGCTGGCAGGAAGGAACTCAGCAGGCTTTACAGACACCCCGGAGCACCGCCTTCGCACGCTGCCTTCACCCTCAGCACCCGGGCGCAGCACGACGGGGCGCAGCCTGTGGCACTTACCTTCTCCCCTTGCTCTCTGGAAACTTGTCTTTTGTCATTTGCATCACATTTGTTCCCAAGGATCATTTTTTCGACGTCTGGAGAGGCATGCTGAGATAGAAACAGATGAAAGAAAGGACTTCTGCTTATGTCTTACAAGTACTGTCAAAGATGAGGTGTCCATCAGGAACTAAAAATGGACACGCTGGTGCTAAGCACTCTCTGCAGGTGTCTGAGCTGCACAGCATCTGACCCCAGCACTGCACTGCAGGCACCGACTGCTCCATGCTCAGCTCTGAGCTCACTTGTGCCAGGAAAACAAAATCAAAAGCACGCTCTGTACGCACGCACAACAAATTACTGTTAGCCAATGCATTCCGGCAGTTATTCCTGACTTTCTTTTCTACTTTGAGTTTGAAAGCAACATTTCTGAAGTATTTAGTTTCTAACTGCTTTTGGAAGGAGAAACAGCACCTTTAACATCAAGTAAACAGAGGAATTACCTCTTCGATGTTCCTGACCCAGTTCCGAATGTTTTCGAAAGACTTTTCATTGGTGATGTCATAGACTAACATAATGCCCTAAGGAACAAGGAGACAGATACCTCTTTCAGCGACCATCAGTCTAAGCAACAGTTAAAAGACCCGTCCGTATCAGAAGGGACAGATAAAGAAGAGCTGTTTCAGCACAACCCGGAACGTCAGCGCGCGCTGTGCGACGCGGCGACGGGGCGTGAGCTCGCACTGAGTCACGGCGGCCGCCCAGCGCCCGGCACCGCGCCGGCACTCGGCCAACTGCAGGGCGGTTCCGCCCGCAGGCCGCGCTCTCTGCTGGAGCCGAACCGCCCGCGCCGCGCTCCTACCATGGCTCCTCTGTAGTACGCCGTTGTGATGGTGCGGAATCGCTCCTGCCCGGCGGTATCCCTGCAAACAGACAGAACGGGGGCTCGCTCACCTCCCGCCTCAGTGCTCGCATCGCGCGGCGGCGTTCACGTGCACTAAAACTGCTTTTGTTTTGACGACAACCAGCTGCCGAAGAGCAAAACCGCACGCAAAAGTAACGGCGCTACGCCGCAGCACCGACACCGGCTGTCAACGCGTGGAGCTCATAAACGAGCCTTACCATATCTGCAGCTTGATTCTCTTGCCATCTAGCTCTATAGTTCTAATCTTAAAATCAATGCCTGGAACGAGAAACAACTGAATTACTTTTACTTTCTACAGAGAACCAAACAAGGTTTTCCCTCTGGTTCCCCCGCTCCGGCTTCGCCGCCTTCCCACGAGGAAAGCGAGCGGAGGCCGCCCGGGGAGCCGGGCTTCGGGCCGCGGCTCAGCGCCGCAGGGAGCGAGGCGGCCCGCACCGCACAGCTCGGCAGCGCCGCCCGCGGGGGCTGCGGCACCATTCGGCCCCGCGCACCGATGGTGGAGATGAAGGTGGCGTTGAAGGCATCCTCGGAGAAGCGGAAGAGCGCGCACGTCTTCCCCACGCCCGAGTCGCCGATGAGCAGCAGCTTGAACAGATAGTCGTACGTCTTCGCCATGTTCCCGGGCGCCGCCCCTGCGGCACCGCCCGCCCCCCGCGCCGCCTCACGGGCCGCACCCGCCGCCCGTCACCGCCCGCAGCGCGCCGATTGGTCGAGCGGAGCGCCGCGTCGCCGCCGAACCTGGGGGGCGGAGCCCCGAGCAGCCGCTCCATTGGACTCCGCTCGCGGCGTAAGCGGCCGCGCGATTGGTCGCGCTCCCCGCCGCGCGCGCCCGGCGCGACGTCACTTCCCGCCCCGGGCGGATGGCCGCGCGAGTTCAAGCCGGAGGGAGGGGCCGGGGCGCGCGGGCAGCGTCACGTGGCGTGCCGGCTCGTGACGTCACCCGAGGGGCGGCGCGGCGCAAGGAGCGGAGCGGCGGGGCTGCGAGAAAAGCGTTTAATGCGCGCGGCGCCCCGCGGAACCGCGCTGGGCTCCGGTGTGTCGGAGCGCTGGGGGCGGCGGGGACGCGCTGAGGGCGGGCGGCGCGTTCGGGCCGCGGGGTTCCGCTCGGCTTCATATACAGTTCAGTTCGTTTAACGTCTGGTCCAGCGTCTGGTGCAGCCCCAGGTTCTCCTCCTTTGCTTGAGCGAGTTTGTCTGGTGAGAAGGGAGAAAAAAATGGACTTAAAACGGACGATGCGGCTTTGCTCCTCGAATTAAAAACGTACCGTGAGATTCACGGGAAACAACGCGGCTTTTCTTTTGCCGTCGCTCTCACAATGAGGTGCTGCTGTATTTACTTACAGCGTCATCACTGCTGTATTTTCAGCGGGTTATAAGGAAAGAAAGCCCCAAAGCTGAAAGGTAGAGGGATCTGATTTTTATTGAGTTCTTACAGAGAAGGATCAGACCGAAGGATCGCTTTAGGACTGCACAGAACGGCAGGAATTACAGGCAAGAAGAGCATAAGAGATGCAGCAGGTGGCACCGCCGAGAGGAGCAAACTACAGCGAGGTCATGTCATTGAGCGCGTGGTCCAGCTCCTCGCTGATTGCTTTGTACTTCAGCTTCTGAGCGTACAGCTCGTCTGCCGGGCAGTGGAGAGCAGCCAGAGGGAAAGGCGGACAGCAGAGGGCACGAGGACAGGAGAAGGCAGCAAGCAAAGCAGTTGGAGGGGAAAACAAAAGATGAAAACAGATCTGTGATTGAGCAGCAGTGCGAAAGTAGGAATACGTAGAAATAAGCTGCCAGGCCAGGCATTTCATCTGTGCTTTTTTAAATAAATCTCACAGTCATTTTTCAGTCATCAGGCTAACTAGCGTTATGATTTTGTTACTAATTGAAATGATTCTTAAGATTCTATGTGTGTGAGTTGGCCAAAAAGTTTTGTTCACAAGGTTTTGAATGAGAATCTCTTCAGAGCCACGAGGCAGCACAGCCTGCGCAGCACAGTGGGACAGCAGGGGGATGCTTCTGTCCCTTCCCAGTAACATACAACACCCATTTTAAAAGCAGTGCGTAATTCCATACCTTCCAGATCATCAATGGACTTCTCCAGTTTGGCAACTGTTCTCTCAGCAAACTCGGCACGAGTTTCAGCCTAGGAATATTAAATAGAATAACTGAGCGCTGCTAAAAAACGCTGCCAAAGCCGCCTGGGGAGGGCTGGACTCACCTCTTTGAGCTTGTCAGAGAGAATCTTGATTTCCTCTTCATACTTATCTTCCTTTTCCGAGTACTGTGGAAGCAATACACACTCCTGAAGGGCAGTTGCAGCAGCAACAGATGTTCATGGAAACGTGATCTATTTACAACTGCTTTCCTTTTCACAACAGCTGCATGCACTCTGCGCACTTCTGAGACACCTCAGACTCTGATTTCTGTACCATCACCGTGAGCCTGATGATGTCCAAACCACTTCATGCATCAATTTAGACTTTATTTTCTCGTGCAGCACAAAACAGCTGAATGCGCAGAGAGATGATGCAGCATTATTGATGGCCTCTTGGAACAGGAAGGCAGGTAACCCCTCTTCATTTCTTTGTATTTCTGTGCATTTTAATTACAGGTTTTGACCGTGTCCCCATCCCGTAGGTTACTGAAAGAACCAACCTTTTCAGATTGAGCTTCCAAAGACTTCAGGTTGTTTGTAACATTCTTCAACTCCTCTTCAAGGTCACTACATTTACTACAGGCCAAAAAAAAAGAAAAGAAAAGAAAGCAGGGGTCACCACTCTGCTGCGGTTTGATTTTACTTAGAAGGAGTCTAAAAATATATGTTAAAAAAAAAATAGTTAAGTTTGAAAGCAGGAAGTTGGGCACACGGGGCACAAAGCCATTTCCAAGCACTGCGTGCTCCCCCACAAGTAGATTTTTCCCTCGAGATGTTTTAGCCTCCATTCTACACCTGCAGCTGTGTAAACTACTCACACTTCAGACACCTCTGCGCGCTCTTCAGCTCTTTCCAACTCCCCCTCCAGAATCACCAGCTTGCGGGCAACCTGAGAAAGAGCACAGCGTTCACACGGCGCTGATCTGCCCCTGCTTCCCTTCTGAGCAGCGACAGCGCAGCACAACGTTTGTGCATTTTTCCCAAAGTCAGACTCTGCAGTTTTTATAGAATCAAATACCTACAATGCTGCAAAAGTCACAATTAAAATTACTCCTTTTTGGGAGTATTCTAAAGGTGCACCATCACAGTGTGAGAAACGTACAAAAACCAATCAAAGCGAAGAACACCAGTGTTGTTCTTGGGTCTCCCATAATTCTATCAGTTCCCCTTCTACACATTCCTCACCTCTTCATATTTGCGGTCGGCCTCCTCAGCAATATGCTTGGCCTCCTTCAGCTGCATTTCCTGAATTTCCATTTTTTCTTCATCTTTCATTGCTCTGTTCTCAATAACTTTCATTCCTCTGCAGAAGCCAAAGCAATTATGCTGACCGTAGAAACACTTTAGCAATTTTGTATCAAAAGCCCCCAAGTGGAATTCAATATTTGTAACCAAAAAGGGCCCCATTACAACCAACCCTCAGGTTCTTCCAAGCTGATAGAATTACTCACTTAAAGTAGTTTTAAAAGAGAAAAAAAAGGCACCTGAAGTTCAGCGTCTGCAGAGCACGTTAGCACACGCAGATGCTGGAACGTTCTGTGTGTATCTGATTTTATCCTTTACACAAAATGAAAGAAAAGAAGGAAAGAGAGAAAGCGAGGGAAGCCCAAAGGGAAGGTTACCTCTCGCTCTCATCCGCCGCTTTTTCGGCCTCCTCCAGTTTCTGCAGGGCTGTGGCCAGGCGCTCCTGGGCCCGGTCCAGCTCCTCTTCCACCAGCTGGATGCGTCTGTTGAGCGCCGCCACCTCGCCTTCCGCCTGCAGACACAGCAGGGAGCTGAGCCCCGCGCCGCACCGCTGCAGCACAGCGGCTCTCAAACCCTTTTCCTCTCTCCCCGCTTTTTGTTTGTTTAAGCAATGGCATCTCAGGAATGTCAAGGTACACAGCACTGCTTCCCCCTTCCTTTTTTTGCTGGTACTCCTCATTCCTGGCACACAACAAAGGACCCAGCACTGATAAAAACGGACAGATCTACCTGCAGACCTCAAACTCAAACGTAATGCCTTGTTCCAAAGCCTTCATGTCTGGTTGTAAACTCTTGGTTCCATCACAGACTGATGCTACCGGCCCTGCACAATGAGCAGCAAATGCAGCCCTTCTGCTCAGCGGGGCAGGGCCGGCTGCAGCGCGAGGTGCTCTGCTTTGTAACAGAAATAGGGCAAAATTAAATACGTTCTGAAAATAAATCCTTTCCTTTTCCATCACTTCCTGTGGTACTTAAGGAGCTGTGCAGCAAACAGTTCGGAATGAGGTCGGTGTCATTCAGAAAGCCAAGCAGCAGTTAACTGCTCATTCCAAAATCACTACACAACAAACGGAGATGCCTGCCTATGCACGATGCAAACAGATGAGCGTTCATAAAACATCGTGTTTATTAAGACACGGCTCCTTTAATCGCTTCATCTTTGAAGAGAAAAGCCATACTTTGGTAAGGCCGGGATCGCTCAGCTAATCAGTGTCGTGTGTCCCTAACCCTGTCGTGCCACCCTTCCCACAAAGCAGCGCTGGGGGCTGCGGGCACAGCGCTCCTCGTTACGGCCGCGCAGATTCCCGTGGCGGAGCAGCTCCCCGCCGCCTCCAGCCGCTCCTCAGCCCGAGGACGCGGTTTCTCCTCGTAAGGACGTTGGGAGGAGCTCAGCGGCCGACCCGGCTGGCAGCCGACGCCCGACTCCGGTCCCGAGCCGCCCGGGCTCTGGTTCGCTCCGTGTTTAACTTACTGGGTTCACACAGCACTCTGGCATCCGGTCCGAGCACCGCCGCTTCTCGCTCCGGCCGGGCCGCTCCCACCGACCGCGATCCCGGAGCCGCGGCGCGGACCCTCGGGAGCCGCCCGGCCCCACCTCTGCCGCAGCCCGCGCTCCATATACGGTAAAACTAACTCGCCGACATGCGATAAAACAGCAGGAAGATGCCGTGCGGGCTGATCGCACACAGACCTAAGTGAAACCAGCTGTCCGGCCCCGGGAGAGCGGCACGCTGCTGGAGAGCTCCCATTTCTCAGGGAAAACCGGGAGGGAAAAGTTATTTTCCAGCAGTTCGGACATTTCCCAGCTGTGCCTGAGCCGGCGGCGCGGCGCCGGGGCGGGACCTCCCCGCCCGTTGTCATGCAGCGCTTTTTCCCAGCGAGCGGCCGCCCCGCCCGCAGCCCGCAGCCCGAGCCCGGCGCGGTGCCCGCGGTGGAGAGCGGAGCGCGGGGAGGTGCGGGGCGCACCGGGCGCAGCCAGAGAGAGAGCCAGAGACAGGAAGGAAGGAGCGGGCAGCCCGGAGAGAGCGACCGAGAGAGGCGAGCGGGCAGCCGGCGGTCTCACTTTCTCCCGCAGGTCCCGTTCCAGGTCCAGCTCCCGCTGCAGGACCTGGGCGCGATCCTCCGCCTCGTCCGCCTGCTGCTGCAGGCATTGGATCTTCCTCTTCACCGCTTCCAGGGAGCTCGGCGCGGCCATGGGCGCGGCGGGCAGGGCGCGCGGTGCTGCACGTGGCGGCGCGCGGCCCCGCGCCTTTCAATGGGCCGATGACGTCACGCGGCGGGAGGTGGGGTGGTGACGTCAGCAGAGGAGCGGCGCGCGGGAGCCCCGGCACGGCCGCGCCCCGAGGACGCCGAAGCGACGCCGGCCGCGTCTGGGCCCGTGGTGGCGCGGGAGGAGCGGAACCGGGCCCGGCAGCTCCGGGCGGGGCGGGGCGGCGCGGTGCAGCCGTGCGCCGAGCGGAGCCGTGCGCCAAGCGGGGCCCCGGGAACGCGGCTCGCGTATAGCGGACGCCCCCCGGCTGCCGAGCGGCTCCGTCCCTCCCGCCCGGTGCCCCGTGCAGTGCCGTGTGCCGCTGCGGCAGCGCGGGGTGGGGAGCGGGCAGCGCGGCGGGCGGCAGCCGGACGTACCTGAAACGTAGAGCCGCTTTCCCGTCCCCTGACCGAGGTACTGCAACAAACAACGCCCGGTGATTCGCACCGGCCCCGTCCCCCACACACAGCAAAGCCGGGCGCAGCCGGCTGTGGGTACGTACATCCGTGGCCTTCTTTTCAGCCTGCTCCAGCTTTTCCTGGGCATCTTTCAGAGCCTCGGAGTATTTATCCAGCTCATCTTCGGTTCCTTTCAATTTTTTCTGCAGAGCTACCAGCTCGTCTTCGACCTTTCAAGAGAAAAAAAAGGAATTTGGACGGATTACCACAGAGACGTGGCTACAACTTCTCCCTTAGTTTTCATATCATGGAGTCCCAGAAGACCCAGGGCCGGCAGCGTCTGCCTGGCAGCGGATCCCAGGGAAGACGATTAAAGCACGCTGTCCTCTAGCAGCACAGGATGTGGCTCAGTGCAGAACTTGGCATCGTCCCCTTTACACCTCATTTGTGTTTTGGACTCCACAATATCCTGCAGTTCTACAGCGCATTTTACAATGTTTTAAAATTATGTCCTTGTGCTCGTTGTGACAGAATAACTCAGGACTGTTAGGAAACTCTTTGACTGTGGTACACTTCTAAGAACAGTTCTAAGCTCTAAGAACAGTTCTAAGGTCTAAGAACAGTTCTAAGGTCTAAGGACAGTTCTAAGGTCTAAGCCATTCCCTGCTGCAGCTCTGCACATCAGAGGGGTGGTCAGAGGGCCCCAGACAGCCCCAACCTCCACCATCCCAGGTCCAACCTGGCCATCAAGGTGCTCTCCATCCCACACCATATAAATCCATACTGTGCACTACACAGAACTATTTATACCCTGCAGGGAGAGCGGTTAGTGACGAACCGCCTCACACTCCCGAGGAATTTGCATTATCAGGAGCTGCTGCTGATAAGGGTGCGCCTGCAGTCCATCTGCTCCCGCCTGCCATTTGCAATACAAAGCAGTTCAGTCCGTAGAGAAAACTGATTTAACCATTTGACTCTGCTTTCACCTAAATTTAGAGTGTCAAACAGTTCACTCTAAACAGTTCATGTTTCAGTACGTGTATCTTCTTCATTCTAGCATCCAGGACAGCTTTACCAGCATTCCTGGCAGCGAGCTGTTCTTCAACACAGCGACATCGCTGTACTTTCGTTTAGGATAACCTCAGTGTGAGAGCACTGAACACGCTCCCCTGGGTGCTTCAGCAGGGAACAGCAAGCAGGAGGAAGTGATGCTTCCTTCATGTATGACATTAAAATCCCTGTGTGCGCCTGTGTTAAAAAAACAGTAATAAAAGAGGTGGAAAACTGGGTACAATTCAGAGAAGAGAAGGCAGATCAAAGCCTTATTTCCTCTATTTCACCTTTCATTGCAGATTACCCTCATACTTAACAGTTCCCAGAGACGCGCCGTTCAGTCTGTAGGAAGTCACCTTTGCTGAGTGCAAAGCGCGGCTCAGCATCGCATCACCACTAACACTGAATACCATCTGCTGGGGCTGCTATGCCACTGAGCTCAGGAAGGGGGCCGGCGTTGCCCGGCAGAACCACATCTGAGCTGCAGCTCTCAGGCTGTGGAAGATACAGCGACCGCATTCACGCGGTGCTGCCTGGAGCCTGGAGCCTCCGAGAGCAACAAAGAGATGAAGCGCTTTCCGTGAGCTGGGGTGGAGCAGGAAGGCGGCAGCAGTTCGCCTTTTTGGAAACTGTTTTTTGAGGCGCTTTAGCTACACGGATGGCCAATTAAAAATGTAATTACATCACCCAAAGATCTCAGATTGGACAGAAGAAACACTTGGCCAAATAATTACGCACACGGCAATCTGGAAGAAGCAGCAGAAAGAAACACATTTAGAGAATATAAAAAGATACGAGCATTCTTTTATAGAAGCTCAGTAACAAATTGGAACATGGAGAGCAAAACATTTAAAGATCATTCTGAAAGTATTACAGCTCAGAACTGAGGTAGGCACGCACCCAAAATAAAGAACAACAAAAAGCAATAGAATATGCAAATGCTATCAGTATAATTCAATTAAAATTAGGCCTTGCAAATTAAGATATTTCTGATCATTGCTGACAAATCATAACACAGCACACCTACTGGCGAGTCGCAGCAGGCACCTCCAAAGGCACTGCGGGACCACAGACAAGTCAGCAGAACTTCATTAATTCACTTCAAGGAGAGGCTCAATTAACATCGGCTGACTTCAGACAGCATTAACTCTGTTCCTACAGGTGTTCAATCTACAGCTTTGACTTGAAGTTTTTCATGTCTTTTCAATGGAATCACGAGCAAACGAAAATTAAAGCAATTATGTATGATTTAAGAAAACTGAGACAAAATAGTCTTAAAAATCCGTAGCTAGTGCTAGCTTTGCAAAGACAGAAGAAACGATCATTAATACCCAACAATGGCCGTACAAGTTTAACATAATAAAAAGGCAAAAAATTCAAAACAAATTAACGGAGAACTGAAGCTCAAATTTTGTTCTCGGAATCCGAGTGCAGCACAGCACTTCACCAGACTGATTTCCACACCACATGCACAATCTGTGATTTTATTTCTACTTGCCTGCTTGCATTTGTCCTCAGCTGCCTTCTTATCCGTTTCAGCCTGCTCTGCTCTATCAATTGCATTCTCCTTGTCCAGCTTCAACATCTGCATCTTTTTCTTGATAGCTTCCATTTTTGCTGAAGGACAGGCTGAGTTTCTCACACAGCCAAAAGAGTTCTGAAGAGTAAAGCTTTATGTTTTTGGGGCAGAGAAAGAAGTCGTGCCCAGCCGAGTCACAGGGAAACTGAGCTGAAGCGGCTGCAGGGAGCTTTAAACCTGGAGACCCCTGGACAAAACCCAGATCCTTGGGCCTCTATCTTTCACACGCAGCCTTTGTAAGGAATGAGCCAGAACACTCACTGGAGGAATCCTCGCCACTCCATCATCTCCTTATTTGGGCCCTTTCTTAAAGAGAGCACTGTTTCCATTTTTAAGCTTCTGACAAAGCAGAAGTGTTGACATGTGAGCGTGTGCTCGAAAGAAAGCCGCTCAGCGCGGCCGCTTGCAGGCAGCAGCCCTGCGCTGTGCGCACGGCCTGGCTGCGCAGCACAACAGGGCCTAAAAGCACCTCTTTGGATTCCTGCAACAGAAATCCACACGTTACAAAACAAAGCACGGAACGGCCCTCAGGGGCGGGGGGCCTAACAACGACCAAAGCCTTTATTAATCTAAGCTCCATACAGAACAGACGCCAGGCAAACGCCTCACAACACCCACAGAAGCCAGCACCTCACGGGCACCACCACGCCGCTCAGCTTGCTTTTTGTGAGGGATTCTCCGCTTTCCCGATTCCAAATAAAAGCAAGGCTTTCACTGCTACAAGAAGCAAACCCTCCGCCCCGCCGATCCCCGCCGCCGCCTCACGAGGGCGGCTTCGCCCCCGACCCAAGATGGCGGCCGGGCAGCGCCGCGGGGCGGAGTTCTGGCGGCGCCAAGATGGCGGATGGGGGCGGTGGGACTACAGCTCCCGGAGCGCCGTGCGCGCCGCTCCACCAAGCAGCGGGGCGACCCGGGGCGGTGCTGCCCGTCGGCCGGTGAGCTGAGCCTGCGGGATCGGTGTCGGGAACCCAGGGCAGCGCTGCTCACCCGAGTCATAGGACGGTTCATGTCAGCAGGGAGCTCAGAGATTTAGGTCCAACGCTGCGCCGGCTGCCCGCCCAGCTGACGCTGCCCGGGGTTCATCCATGGCCACGGGGCACCCGCAGCTCTGGGCAATGCCGGCGCCTCGCCGCCCCCAGAGTGCGAGATTTCATTTCCCCGTGTCCTGTCGCTATCAGACAGTGTGCGGTCTCTCCACTTCCAGCTCACAAGTTCCCTTACAGCACTGAAGGCCACACCGAGGTCCCTCTCTGAGCTGGACAAGCCCGACTCCCTCAGTAAGAAAGGTGCTGGTAAGCATGGACAGCCAGGAGGGCAGTGGGCTGTGCAGCCCCAGGCCTGCGCTGCAGTGCTGAGGATGTACAGCACGCTGGCAGCCACAACGCAGTGTCCCTGTTCTTTGGCCAATGGCCGCAGCAATCTCTTCTCACTCTCTTTGGAGCAATGTGTATCTTCAGTAGCTTTTCTTCCATTGCTGCAGCTCACAGGCTCTGGAGGTCGGCCATGCTCTGTGCCTCCTTCAGGCTCCACTCAGGTGGCTGTGCTGCAGGCTTTGTTTGTAGTTCCTTTCTGAAGAGGCAGGTTTTGGGGTGCAGCTTTGGAAATGAGTGGAGGAGAAAGCGGGAGGACGGTGCTCACCCCACCTGACCCAGCACCTGTGGGAACGCATTCCATGGAGGCAGCTGCAAGACCACGCATGTCTTTCCCCGGGTCTGCAGCTGCATGTAGCCTTCAGCAGGCTTCAGCCTGCTTCTGCAATGGCTCTTGCAGCCTCTGCATTGTTTCCAACTGCTGAGGGAGCGGAGGAGGCTTTCCAGCCAGCCCTCCTACCCTTCTCCCGCTGCAGGCTCAGAGTCAGGGCCGAGCACTCAGAACTGAACACTCAACAGGGCTTTTTTGCTGTTGTGTTTCTATTACAGGAAGAATGTTTTTCTGATCAGCGCTGTGGCATGACTCAGAGCCATTTTAGAAAGGAACATCTAGGAACAAATCATCCTGTGCAGTCCATCAACTGGGTTCATCCCCTTTCCCTCCCTACTGGAGAGAAATACCTGAAACATCCTCTCTGGTCCCTCAGCCTTTGGCTTTCTTTAACTTGTGAAGTGGCAAGCAACCAAGAAAGGAAAAAGCCCTCCTAACCATGCATTTATTGAGCAGGTGGGAGCGTGTTCAGTAGGTAGAGATCCCTTGTTTATCCTTCTTCTTTCAGCAGGATTGTTTGAGCCTAGCAAGGCTTGGCAAGACCATGTGTAAAGAGGAGAGGGTACCAGGAGGAAATGAAGCTGGATGCTTCGACAGTGTGCTCATTTCTTTGGCAGCACGCTGTGTGGGAAGCATGTTACAGCAGGCATTGTAACAGACAGGGGTGGTTCTTTTGGTCCTGTGGACTAAAGTCAATTTTTTCAGTACTCTCAATCCCTACTCCGATTTATTTTTTTCCCAGAATTTAGTTGGAATGAACACCATGACCAACTGCCCATGTAGAAGGAACAGACACTTTATATCCTCAGTCTCTCCCCAGGCTCCTGCTCTATTTGAAACTCCTGGACATTGAATATCACCTTCCTCTCTTGCAGTGAGTTCCAACTCCTGTTCATATGTACGTGTGTCAAGACTAGAAATGTGTCAAAGTCAAAGGAACTGGCTGCTGACAACCCTTTCTCAAGTTTCCTTTGGTTTCTTAATGTAATTATCTCCTAATAGACAACTCTCTCTTGTATGTAAAGTTTCTGTTCTAGGAACTACATATATGGTGCATCATTAGTAGAGTGCTGTAACTACAGTAGCACTAGAATGAACATCAAACTTGTCTCTTCCTGTCATCTCTGTTTAAATGTTCAGTTAGAAATGACAGAATCCATAAAATCTCACATCTCACTGAATTTTCTTTGCAGGATTTCCCTGCAGGGCTGTCTCTCAGCATGAAGGATAAGGCAGGGTAGTATCAATCTGTACTATCGTATTTCTGATACTTTCTCATTACATATCCATTACTCAGCACTGGTGCAGACATAATGCTGGGCTAGGTGTGACCAAAAGGACAGATCTATCCTTCATGAGCCTATATCCAAGAATATATCACTTTTTAAATGTAACTCTGGTTATCTGTATTTGTCAACAGGGTCCTGAAGACCTGAGATGCTGAGTGAAGTGTTTTGAATAGGATGGCAGGATTCACTCAGAACCCAGAACGTGCACCTGCTTGGGAAGCTTGTCCATGTGCAGTATGTGGTACACCAGGGGAAAGAAATCCCACCACATGTTTGTGTTCATGGCAAAGAAACTGGAGTGGATGCCAGAAGAGGAAGAATCAGCAGCCTCAATCCCAAGGCTTTGGTACCCTTCCCTTTTCTGGGCTAGCTGTATTGCCTTCACTGGGGACCACCATTCTGTTGCAGAGAAGGATTTGCTTTGGACCAAAGGATAATAATCGCCGCAGATCATGCCACCCTCGGTTACTGCTGTTATAGCCAGTTTCTGTGCAGCACTGAAAGCTGTAAGCTGTTCCTTGCCATTAGATGGCAATGTAGATCCACAAATCTTCCTTCCTTGAGCCCATGGAAAACCATCTTGCTGCCGTGGGTAGAAACTCAAATCTTCTGTTTCCGCCCACTTCACCATATAAGACTGAAGCATCCTGGATTGCTTTGCCTACAAACAAATGGGCCTGGCTGCCTGGGAGGCCGGCTCCTCTGGAGTCCCCAGTGGCATGAGTGCTCGCTCTCTGCATTGAGGGCCCCCCTTTGTGCACAGAGGTTTGTTTTTTCACTCTTCCAGCAGTTAATTCATCTCTTGTTTTGCTGTTTCCACAAGACATTTTGCTATCTTGCTTGTTTCTCAGCTTACTGCCAAACCTGGCAGGCGAGTGAGTCATGGGCTGCTGCAGGCCAAACCCTGGAGCGTACAGACTGCTTCCTAGGGTCATGAATCTCCCATCTGGGACGTTATAAAGAACTGCAGCAAGAAATAACTGCGCCGCAAAATGCTTTTCCCCATATCCATTTTTCAGCTTTCCATTGTTCGCAGCTGACTGGTTCATTTAACATCTGCGTTACTGTTTTTTATTATTTTCCTTCACATTTCCCTTTTCCACCAGAAAATGTTACCAGCTCTCATCCAACTTAGAAAACTCACAGTTCCAAACCCAGGCAAGTTTGTTCCTTCAAAGCTGAAGATACACAGCTTTTTCTGACACTCATTTTAACTCCCATCCCAGAGTCCAGATGCCGCCACCAATGCAATATTGATGCAGGGCAGCAAGCAAGGGAAGCTGTGGGGCCTTTTGGAGTCAAATACAGACACGGCATCAGGATCTGTGTGGCTTGGTAACGTTAGAAGTGTTAGTGGTAGAAATCCTTGTTTGTACCAACGAGGATGCAACCAGAATCGCCCCCCCTTTTTGTGACATTTAAAAAAAAATCTGTTATGCTGCTGAAGCAGATGGAGAGAGCCTGACTGTTGTCTGGAGCAGGGCAGGATGAAAAGGCATTTTCCCCTTGCCAGCCAAGAATGGGAGATGGTGGATGAGAATCCAATGGAACAGAGAGGATGTCTGGCCTGGGAGCACAGGGCCCTGTGACGTGACAGGCAGATAACAGGGCAGGCTCAATGCAAACACTGTCAGCTTGCTCTCATCACTCACATCTCCCAGTGTGTGTTACTATAGGCGCCTTCTAGTTTTTCTGGATTTCAAATGGCCTAAACAATGAGGAATTTGCCCTTATCCTGAGGAGAGAATTGCTCTTCCTTCACAGAAAGGCTCTCTTTATTCCTGGTATGCAAGATGTTAATAATATTTCTAAGCACTCTTGCAGATGTGAGCAGCATGCTGTAGATAAGTCATATCAGAAGAAACGTTATCACTTGAGCTTACATGTTTTGTGCTTTTCCATTGCACTCTAAAATGCTGTTGCATTTAATTAGCCATTTTTCAAAGCATTTATTAATCATTTATTAGCTCTTTGTTCATTTGCTGTAGATGTATCTCAGCATCTAAAGTGAGCCCAGTCATTTTATAACCAAGCGCTGGGTGACAGAAAAGGCCTTACTCATCCTTCTTATCTGCAAAGCACTTGGCACATGGTGGTACAGCTCCAGTTGGGGCCTCTGGGTATTTCAGGAATATAAATACCAGCACCTTAAGCTGCCCCATTGCCTAAGATATCAGGAGCACTGGATGAATTAAGTGGCAGGCTGCATTTTGGAGATTTCTAGCTGTAGGTTATCGCTGTCAAACCTCGGGATTCGCTGCCAGCGAGTGAACCCTTCCAGCCCCGTGCTCCCCGGCAGCCCCAGAGCTCACACCACTGCACCTCCCTCTGCACTGCTGAGTGATGGAGCAGGAGAGCTCCAGTCGTAGCATGGAGACTGTGCTCTCCCACAGGATCATGGACATAGGGAAATTTAACACAAAACTCTCCTTTGGTACCTGGTGACACACAGCTGCAAGCACATGGTAAACCTCACCAGTCACCTCTAATGCTTCATCCCTTGTTTTCTGTCTTTCTAACCGCAACTCATCCTAGGCAAACAGAGGAAAAAGAGTAAACTTTTCAGCTTTACTGACTGCTGGGATCAGACGGCGTCAAGAATCAGCAAAGGATCTCCCTGACCTGAAAGGGCAGGGCTGACAGGCTGCTTTCCCCAAAGACTTACAAGCAGGGGAATCAGGGCTGTATTTTTCCCAGGTGCTGCAATTTCCCTACAACTGCTACCAAGAAATGGAGAAACCTTTCTATTCTCATTGAGAAACATCCCACTTTTCTGTCCTCCTCTGCAAGGACAGCAGCACAGCAGGTAGCAAAACACAGTCATTGCCAAAAAAAGGCTAAGAAATATGTGTCTCTATTCTGGTAGCATAAGAAGATATTATAAGGCCTAGGATTACCTCAACCAACAAGAGACATGTTAATGAAGCACCTAATTTAAGCAGGTGTTTCTCTTTTGCTGTAGTCAATGGAGTATAGAGGAGGAGAGAGCAGAGGAGGAGATGTTTTATTAAATGCTGTTGCTTTAGTTCTTAAAAAAAAATCATAGCCCACCTAGGTTTTAAATGGCTTTTGAGGCTTTCCTAATGAATGTTTCTCAAGTGTTTGCACATTTTCTGTTTGCCCTCAATATGAGGAAATGCTTAAGTCAATAGGTTTTTATTTGATTTATAAATAATGCCAGGGCGACACATTATTGCAGGTTCTCAGAACTCTGACTCCATGTCTTGTCCTCCAGATATGACACGCCAGAGATATCGCCCAATTAGGGCAGGGCAGAGGATGAGGATTAAAATAACTTTAAGAAAAGACCATCTAGAACTTCATCCTGCACTTCTGTTTAGCCCACAAACCGTCAGGAGCTTGTGAAATAATTGCTTTGGACAGATAATAAAACATCCTCCAGCAAAACGAAGGTACTTAATATACTGCCCAAGTCAATTTCCCTTATTTCTTCTGTCCTCTTGCTTTTAATAATGGTTTAATGAAAAATTCAAAATTAATTGGAACTGGCATTAGCCATTCACGTGTTCCAGTGAGGGTTTCACTGCTTCAATATTTCATAAGCTGACTTCACCGCTACGCCTCGCCTTCTCCTGGCTTTCAGAGGCTCAAACATCACCCCTTCTTCTGAAAGGAGTGCTCCCAGCACGGGGTGGGGGTACGAGAGGAAGTCTGCAATCACACCGCAGGCAAAGAAACAATAAAACTGATTGCCATTGCGTTTTCCTTTTTGTGACCATCTCCCTTTCTTTGTAATTATACACATCTGAGCCTTATCTGGAAAGAGCTGTCCTAAAAATAAACAGGAGCCGTCTGAAAGGTGTCTGAGGGAGGTATCTGGCAGCTGTCAGGCTGTCATGGATGCGAGAAGGATGGAGCTGATGGACTCGCTGACACCAGACGGGCTCTGCCGAAATAAGAATGCCTTATGCTTCCCTTGGCACTCACCGGGCAAATTCTGTTGGCTGGAGCCATTAGACCTCAGCGTGTCTGGGGTGTGATCCAGGTCCGACTGCCGTCAATGAGAGTCTGCCCTTGGATGGCAATGGGAATTGGATCAGACCTCCTCTTTACCCCCGAGACTCTGGCGTTACAACAGGGATAAATTCTGGCTCCCCGAGTGAATGTCACCCCGATGGAGAAAGATGCAACATCTCCAGGTTTGCAGGCTTCTGTAGTTCTCTGGAAATGCAGCTTTTCACTGAGATTCCTAGACATGGGAACAAGAGCCCAACTTTTGACTTTTTTTTTTAACAGCTTTGTACTGCTCTGTGCCTCACATTCTCCTCTCTAATAACGGTGGTGATGTCCTGTCTTCAAGAAAATTATTGATATATCTGCAGATCCATTCTGTTCATAACTGCTGCCATGCAGGAGGGTGTGACTGTGCTAAAAGCTGTTCCTATTTCCCACAGGGTGCTTAAAGGACACATGTTAACACCACGCAGCAATGAGACGATGAGCATGAAGGCACAGCATGACTCATCTCAAGCCTTTGCAGCAACTCAGTGGCAGAGTGAGGACCCAAGAATGCCAGTCCCCACCAAAACAATCATACCTTTACAATGACTGAATCTGGAAAGGAACACTTGCGAGCAGAAGCTTCATTTCCTATCAGGTGCACAGGGAAATCGCCATTGCCTGTAGAATAGCTGAAGACATTTGCTGCTGTTCTTGGTCAAGATACAGTGCACTGGGGAGAGAAAAGAGAAAGGAGGTGAGAAAACCGGGCAGAAATCTTCTTGTTTCTCAGTGGGAAAGGGGACGCATCTCTCGTGCTCAGTGGGAGCTGACTGCTGCCATATCTGAAAATCTGTCAATTTGTTTCATTATCTAATAGGCAAGAAAATGCCCTTTTTAGTGAAGAACAGTGTCTTAGGACAACTACCTTGCAGTACTTTGGTCTGAAAATACCAGTCTGTGTTGAGAAGAATGGACAAGGGAATTAATTCCTGTAATATGAGCTGCAGGAAATTACCTACAAGATAAGGGTGACTTGATCTTTTTGAGAAAAAGAAAAAAAAAGAGACTTCCTTATCTTGATGATGTTTGCTCTGAAGTATCATCTTGTGAGCGCCTGAGTCTGCCTTGCGGGATCGTTCAATTACAGCCAGCTCCTGCGGCGGGCATCGCTTCCTTCCCTTTGGAGCTATCACTGCATCTACCAGAGCAGTGCTTGCTCCCGAGGCCTCTGCTGTCCCTTTTGCGTGGTGAGCCTGCAGCCCCGAGGTGCTCTCTCAGCTCACGTGTCAGAGCAGGATACAGCCAATACTTCAATTAGGCAGAGATCTGTGAGGGACAGGAAATCAAGCCGATGAACCACCAAGGAGCATGTGTGAGTGAGCACCAGACATGTGATGCTATGAGCAGCAATGAATCCTACCCCTCTTGGAGGGTCCCAGCCCATTCTCCTACAACACACATCTCCTAGGGCAAACCAGCACTGCAGTTCACACCAGCTGGGCTCTGAATGTCCTTCCAAATGCTGTGGCTCCCCCCCATGAGGAAGTTTTCACTATGCAGAGTATTTTTCTCAATTAAAATGATTATGTTAAATAGCTGAGAGGTTCCTCAATGTCTACTTTTTGAACTGAGCTATGCCACAGTTGGCAGCTTTTGAGAACAGCAGACATGAGGTTACTAAACCCATTCATTTCTCAAATGCACCCACATTTCTAATGGCTACAGAGGTCCATCTTTAAAGTCCTCTGAGACCCATTGGAATGAAGGGCACTTTGTGAAGACGCAGTAATTATTATGGGATTTAGAGGTGCGTGGCAATGATTCACGGAGGCATTTCCCAGCCAGTACTCTTGGAGCCAGGTGAGCTCTTCCCTGGAATGAGAAGCATGCAGTGCAGCAACTGGGAGGAACAGGTTTGGCAGGACATTTTAAGCTGTGCAGGCAGACAGCCTCTTCGGAGCCACATCCCTGCTCTGCCTGCCTCCCAGCTGGATGCTCCTCTCTGCCACACCGTCCCTGGAGAGCCGGAGAGGATGGACACGCTGCGAAGGAGCCTTTCCCGCTGGAAGAGGTACCACATTAAGGTGCACTTGGCTGATGAGGACCTGATGATGCCGCTGACCGTCAAACCCAGAGACACAGTGATGGACCTACGGGCTTACCTGGTGCGGGAGGGCGTCACTTCCTGGAAGAAGACATTTTATTACAACTCCAGGCAGCTTGAAGAGCATGAGACTTTGAAAGAAGCCAATATCCAGAATGGCTCAGTCCTGCTTCTTGTCAGCAACAAAAGGTAGGCACAGAGCTCATCTGCAGCGGGGGCGGTGCGAGGGAAGGGGGAATGCTCTGTGCATCTCAGCCCACGGGACGCTTTCCCACTGGAGTTTGCAGAAAGCAGATCAGGAGCTGAAATCCTGAGATTTCCAGCAGGCAGAGTGAGATTTAAGCCTCCTCAGCTCCAGATAGGCTGACGTGTGAAGTAGGGGAGGCTGAGGAGGAGGCAGTCCGGTTGATATTTCCTCTCCTGTCTCTGATGAGGTCTCACTTTCCTGAAAACACGGCCAAGCACAGAGGGAGGCAGAAGACGTGCAAAAGGGAACTTGTGTGACTCAGGGTGTGCTCCGGGAGCCTCTCCCTTGTCCTCAACTCTGTGGTGCCTGGCTCTTGCCATTTCTTTTTAGCGTTTACTTTCTGCAGGTGTTTGTGGTGCTGCTGTCCTGCAGAGCCGTGAGCTGCCCATCTGCTTACAGCAAAGCCCAGTGGGTGCTGGACACAGACGGTCAGAGGCTGCAGCTTCCCAAAACACAGTGAGATCTCAGCACGAAGCAGAGACATCAATGGCTTCCAGGACAGGCAGTGAAAAGGAAACTCAGTGAATCTTTTCAGTCATGGCAACTCCTACGTGTCAGTGGGAATGCAAATGGAGATAATGGTGCTGAGACCTGTTGGCTGGTTAGGATTCAGTGGGGTGCATTTATGTCCAGTTGTGATGCCTTCCCAATGCCTGGCTTGTTGCACGGTTCCTTCCGTGAAGCATTTTGGTGGACACTGTGTGTAGGAGAGGTGCACGGCAGAGCACAGACGTACTGTGTCTAATTCAGCTTTCTGAATGCTGAGACCTCTGAGTTACTTGTCTATGCTGATCAGTCTGCTCTGCAGAAAATCCTGCACTAAAGACTTCAGTTCTGATTAGATGCCACACGGAATGGTCCTATTTTCCAGTTCAGAGGCAGCTTGAAATCTCACACAAAGCAGATTTAATAAAGCATTTCCTTTCAGAGCTCAGGCAGATACAAGAGATTTCACAATGCTCAGCTGACTGCAAACCCCCCGTCACCCACAGCCCCTTTCTGCAACATCTCATTTCGTAGCTCTGCCTGTGGCAGGGGGTTGGAGATTCGTGATCCTTGAGGTCCCTTCCAACCCTGTGATTTCATGATTCTGTGATTTCAGCTCTCTGATTAACTTTGCACAGCTCCTCCTTTTTACCTTGTTTTTAATGGCAGGAGCCATTAGCAACAACATATATTTGTTGTTGTAGGACAGGATTCAGAGGGACTCAGCTGATGGACCACACATGCTTATGCTTCATAAAGTGCTGTGGACCTTTCCACAGTCTTCAAAAAAACAATGTTTAAATGCAGCATTGCAAAACTCACCAGGAGGTCCCGACCCCAGTGTGCTGAGTTCAGGGTATCTCTGAAAGTTTGCTCACTTTTGAAAATTTAAAGCCTCTTGCTCAGCATTTGGGCTCAGTTTTTGTATGAGAAGGAAGGAGCAGGATTTATAAGGTTGTTGTGGTTGTTTTGTTTTTTTTTGTCTTTAATTTCATAAAAACGTTCCCAGCTCTTAAGCAAGCACCTCTGTGTATTCTCTTATTCCTTTTCCCAGGGCTGGGAGCACTGTGGTGGGCAGACAGTCTCTCCCTTAACTCACATCTTTCCTCATGTTATTGCACACGAAGGATTCCTGGGCCATGACGACCTCGGCCACTTCCAGATTATTTTGTGTGGCACGACTGCCAAGTGCCCAGGTGCTGGGGACACCTTTCTCCACTGGCTCAGGGAGTGCCTGAGATACTCACAGCACACGACCTCCTCTTGCTGTCTCTGGGATGTGCTGTGTGGTTTGGCAGCAGCCCGCACCCTGCTTGGTGCCTGGCCCTGGGCTGAGCGCAGCTCCGTGACTCAGCGCCCTGCCAGATCCTCAGCACACAGGGCTGGTTCTGAGGGTGCTCTCTGTCAATTAAGCTGGGCATTAGGAAATACAGGGCGGGAGAAGGCAGGTGCTGCATTGCAGCTGAGATTACAGCACCATTTCAAGCCTTAAGATTATTGGACCAGATCTTTAGGTATTATAAAACCATGCTGGCTGTTTAGCCTCCAGAAGGGAAGGCTCCAGAGAGTCCTTAGTGCAGCCTTTCGATACTTAAAGGGGGCTCGTGAAAAAGATGGGGGGAGACTTTTTACTATGGCCTGTAGTGAGAGGACGAGGGGGAATGGATTTAAACTAAAAGAGGAGATTTAGATTACGTATAAGGAAGAAATTCTTCACTTGGAGAGTGGTGAGGCCCTGGCACAGGCTGCCCAGAAGAGCTGGAGGCGCCCATCTCTGGAGGTGCCCATCCCAGCTGCTTGTGTCTTTGGCAGCCTGGTCTACAGGGAGCTGTCACTGCCCATGGCAAGGGGTGGGGGCTGGATGGTCTGTAAGGTCCCTTCCAACCCAAACTGTTCCGTGATCCCATTCTGTGTCACTCCAGTACCGTCTGTGGGATGCACTACTCTTAATCAAGGGTGGGAAACCGCGGGGAATAAGGGCCACAGGAGCAGAGAACCCAGCAACCCAAGGATTTTAGAGCTGGTTTTAGTGTTACACCAACTCAGTAAGTGTGGACCCACTCCATCAAAGGTCAGCATCTGTTCTTAAGTTCTCCCTGAAAATCTTGGTGTCCCTACCTTATGTTTTGCACTGGGAGGCCAGCCAAGCAGAGCTGTATTCCTCTCCAAAGTGGAGTTGCTCTGATTGCCAAGGTCTGCAGCTCAGTGTTGTGCCTATAAATATAGATGGTCACTCTGTTTGCTGTGTGTTCCTATAAGGGGTTCATGAGACAGTTTACTTAAACTTGAGAAAACATGAAAATGACCCTATTTTTCATCCCTCCACCCTTAATGCCTTTGTAGATAATTGGCATTTAGCAAAGGCCAGCTCAGCATTTCTACTTCTTGCTCATGTTTTCTAGGGTTTATAACTTAGCCATAAAAATTCACTTAAGGATTCAGCTTGGCAGGAAAGGGATCAGCATAGCAGCTCATGCTGGAAATTCATTTGGATCTTAATGCTCAAAAGTCTGAGTGGACTGTTCTGGAGTTCAGTCAACACGACCTCTCAGCCCAAGAAAACACATGGACAGGCCAGAACTGGGCAAATCACATCCACTAGGGATGCAATTCCCACTTGTGCAGAAGCTTGTTAATCATATTATGCTGCACTGATTAAGATTGCAATCCTGTTGCAGGAGAAGCCTAGCAAAGAACACGCAGAAAAACAGCTTCCACCCTAGAGAGCTACATATTAGAGTAACACAGCTTGCAAGCGGGCAAAACAAGCAAGGCAAGACCTGAAATGTGAATGAACTTTGCAGAGGTAAAATCCCTCCATCTCGGTGGCTTTGAGGTGTTGGAGCCATCGGTGTCCACGTGGGGACACCACCTGGGAGCCCCAACATGCGAAGAGCAGCCATGCAGCACAAACGCCGCAGCATCACGAGGGCAGGCACAGGCTGTCCCAGCTGCCCGAGGCACGATCAGTGCTGGCACTGTGCACCACGCCAGGGCAGAACCAGTTTGTCTCGCTGCGGAAGCGGCGCGAGGCCCCAGCGCCAGGCAGCTGCTCGGCGGGTCCGTGGGGATGTGGGAGTTCCTGAAACTGGCGCGGCTCCTCCTGAGCTGTGCAGAGAGCTGCCCTGCTGCTCCGGCACCAACCCACCAGGGCTCCCTGGGCTGTAAGGCACTGCCTGCTCCTTGTTGGTAAGCTCCGTGATTGCATTTGGATGCTAGATGTGAGGTGAGGGGTACTGCCCCAAATCCACCTCGTAAGCCATGGAGGCTTTTAGCTTCGTGACCTCTGGAGTTGTTTCTAATAGAGGACAGCAATGGGCGATCCAAGTGAATCCCAGGCACGCCGAGCTCCTGCTGCTGACTGTCCCTGAGGATGCAGGGCTCCAGCTGGCTCTGGACATGGGACAGGCACAAGCACACCGACAGAGCCTTCGCGCTTTGCTCCTTTCTTGCGTGTGGCTGCTTTCAGTCAAGGAATCAGCCAGTGCCAGGGCTGCTCTCTGTTACACTGCTGGAGTATTTTATCCCACTCCACGTGTTCTGTCTGGATGTGAACATGCAGGTTTGGAGGGTAGGAATTTGCTATGAAAACAGCAGCCATTCAGTCCCAGGCACACTTATTTTACTGGCACAGACTCAGCTGAAGCTCATAGGAACCCCTCAGTCTTTTGAAAGACAAAGTTCATTGAGGCCAAGCAGCTATTTTCATCATTCGTGGTTTGCCCAGAGAATGGAGTTCAGTAAGTCATTGGTGAATAGGTTAAATAAAGTAGATGCCATCACTGAATTTAGCACAAGTCTATTATCTGGAATCTCTTGGTGTTGAATTTCTGGCCCGAAGCCACCTGAAAACATCCATCTCGGGGCATTAGCTCAGTTACCATAACAACTCATCTCGGAACGGCTCCTGAGAGTTCCCAGAGCACAGCGAGGTGCCACGGGCTCTGTAAGCCACTCTTAGGTCAAGATAAGCACATCCAGGATTCCCCCTCTTCTGCAATGCAGCCCCATTGTCCCTGGTGAGCAGCACTGCTTATGTGAGCCTTCATTTGCTTGGGACTCTGCTTTAGCTCTCAGCGCTGCTCAGCCAGCTTTCCAAAGGTCCAAAGGAGTCACCTCCTGGCAGAACAGCAGAACCATCCATCTGTGGGGAACCCATCTGATTCCCATATTGCCATTCAGTTTACAGTTTGTGATTTTTGGCCTCATAAATTATAACTTGGCATGAAAGCTATGACCGAGCCACCTGCATAATGTCCAGTTTAGCTGATGCTAAGAAACTGCTGCCTACATGTGACTCCCCCAGTGGCATAAGGACCAATGTTCTGCACAGACACTCAGCAATAGCTCGCTCCAGGCTTGCAGCTCTCCATTGTCCTGTCACCTCTGCTCACACTCTCTGGAATCACAGGCTGCTGCAGATACTGCTGGTCTCCAAAGGGAAATCAGAAAAATAATGGGGTCTACACAGTCTGACCTCATTCAGAAAGCCAGCATTACAGCCCAGGCATGAATTAAATCCCTTAGTGCTGGATTTCAGAGTGATTTTGTGATGCCTGCTCCTTGCACTGACCTTGCAGCACCTGGGGTTGCTCAGCTCTTGCTCCTCCGTGTGGAGGGGAGATGTCCCACTCCCAGACAACTGCAGACCTGCCATCTTACGCTGAGACTTGGCAGCAGGCTCCAAGGCATCTCACATCAGGATAACGATCCTTTAAATAGCACTGGGAGTCTCTCTTCTCAGGGAGAACTAATTAAGTTCCTCAGCACATGCTGAAACATATGTTGACCTGGTATGGCCTTAGCAGGTCTGCTTCCATCTACTGGATAAATAACACTGGCTTAAAAAACATCCTCCTAGAGATACGTTACTGAGGCAACAGCCAGGTGGGAGACTGACTTCTCCATCTCTGTGGCTAAAAGTAATATTTACGTGTATTACTCATGGCCAAGCTCTCTGCTGGTGTAAACTCCTGAAATCAGTTAAAAGATTTTTAAGTTCTGAAAGGAGCTCTGCAGTTGTCTCTGCTGACCTCCAGCACAGCGCAGGCCAGAAAACAGCACCAGTATTCAGCTGAGTTGCCTACTGGTGAGCCCATGAAGTTCATTTAATGAAAGCAGAGGGCTGCATCACAGAGAACGTAGTCCAGAGAGTCTGAATTCCTTTCCTGTGCAGTTGCATGGGATTTCAGTAGACGAAACTGAGCTAATAGGTGTCCCCTGGTGGCAAGAGATGCCTGTCTTGGCTCTAGGCAAAAAAATGAATGATTTGAAAGCATGTTCCAAACCAGGTTCTTTTCTGGTGTAATATGGCACAGCCTCCTGGACTTCTTTGTAGCTGTGCTGATTCGTCTCAGCAGGGGATTTCACCCAGTTGGGATAAATGCTCTCTCCTCTGTCCCACAGTCTGCTGAAATGTCAACTGAATAACAAGTGCTGCAGTATGAATGTTGTTTTGGTGTTCTTGCAGAAAACCCAGACAGCAGTTATTATCAGCGAGGCTGTGTCCTGTGCTGGGACCCAATGAAAACCCCCTCATAAACTTTGAGCTTCTCAAAGTTCTCATCAAGTGTTTGCAGCACAAACTCAGTTTCTTACCTGCATAATTGGAAAGAACAATTCACAGGGATCAGGAGACTCAGCCCTGCACTTACTGGCTCAGCAGGGCAGGCTGGTGCCTGGCAGAGCTGCTGCCTATGGGCCCCAGGTATTTTGGTTGTATTCCAAGCCAGGATAATGAGCTCTCTAAGCAAATGCTGGTCCTGAAGGGTACCCCTAGAAATTTTCAAGAGCTTCAGCCCGTGTTCTGGAGACGCCGGGGGTTTGTCCCAGATGATTCCTAAGGATCCTCAGAACAGCAACTTAGGAAGTAATCCTACTTTTGCTAAGCTTACTTATTCCATGCGGGGTCTGTACCCCTGTCAGAAAATGTTTATGGAACTGCAACCCAGAAAGGCTGAAAACCACTGTTTAGTGCTAATGCACACTGGTGAGTGAGCCTTGAGAAACTCAAGCTGTCTCACTGTAAACATCCTTGAAGTGCTCCTGAAGCTGTGGGCTGCTCTGTTCTGAGATGAAAAATGGATTTCCAGGAGCTTTGCTTCTGGGTAAAAAAGCTCCCAGGCAGCTGCAGTTGGTCACAAGCAGGGGTGAGGGCAACTTCTGCAGAAGGAAAAGCAGGTGTGAAACCCTGGAAGTGGCTTAGATTGACTGGAAAAACAAATGCATCAGAGGATCAGGTTGGTATGCTATCCCTGCCTGGGTCAGCGCCTCCTTGGGCAAATGCCATTTTTGATTGCATGTCTACAATGCTCCAAGTATTTGCGTCTTTCTTATGCAGATAATGCCAAAGAGCACAGCAAAAGCCATGGGAGATGGGGAGCGTGACAAGGGCTGAAAGGAAGCAGATGGAAGGGAGCCTGGCCATGGAACGGCAGCGTGGCCACGGGCGCTGGTAAGTCCTTCCCTGCACGCCAGCTCCAGGACTGTTCAAAAGCAGCTCTGCATGTTTTAAGCACAGTGCCTATGAATAATTAACCCCCAAACAACTACAAGTAACATTTCCTCATCAGCAAGCCTTGTGGTCCGAGCTGCCCAAGGAGAAGCGTGGGTTAGGCTGACTCAGCTCCTGGGGGCAATGAATCAGAGTGAAATGCCCGTGAAAAGGTAAATCCTGCCTGGGTGGAGAAGCAAGAAGGAGCTGAGGTGAGCTTTGCTGAGGGCCTCTGATGGGAATGGTTGACATCCGAGCCTCCTTCCAACCCCTCACAGGACTCCTCAGTAAGTTGGCCTTTGTTTTCCTATGTGCAAGTCTGAGATAATTTGTTGTCCCTTTTCTCCTACTCTTCGTCCACCGAATTGTAAGTGGCTCAGGGCAGGGACTGTTTGTGCTTCTGAGCAGTTCCTACGTGGCCCTGCATTCCAGGCTGGAAGCTCTGTCCAGCAAACAAGTGTTAAGTGCACTCAGAACAGTCCTGGTGCCTGACAGCCTTTATATATCCCAAGGACAGAGGCTGGCTTGTCGCTGCTATGGGGCTGCCTTGCCTGACGTTAAGGCCACACTGTTATACCAAGATGACCCTGTTTTGAGATGGGGCTTATAGAGCAGCAAACCTTCTTGTGCTGTTCTCCCATCTCTGTGCCAGTGCCCCAACTCCTGAACCAGCTGACCTGACTGTACCCAGTTTGACAGAAAGGTCTCACAGATCCAAGATTCCTGCAATTTTCGTGAAGAAGCAGCAGCTGGATAGAAGGCAGATATTTCAGTTAATATCCTATTGCAGGATTGGTAATTGCATCTCTGCTCCTATCTGGTTTGAGGTGCAGCCGGGTCAGCTGGCATTTAGAGGGCGGCTGCTCGATCAGTGCTGCAGGGCAGGAGGCTGCTGGGAGAGCTGCAGGCTTTGCTGGGGAGGGGATGAGGAACCCTGGGGATACTGGGAGCACCAAGAAGGGGAGTAAAAATAAAAAGCAGCTGTAATACATAAATCAGATGAGTGGGTTTCACCAGTCCCCCTGCTGACAGAACAACTCACATTTAGGTTCAAACTTATGTTCAGGACAGAATGAACGTTTCTTTAAGCACTACAGTACATTCCCCAGAAAGTTTTGCTGATTAACAACCATGTACCGAACCTCTGAACCTGCATTTTCTGTTGCTCAACTGAAGAACGTGCCTTTCCAGATTGTTTTGGTGACAAGAAAATGTTCAATTTGAAGAAACACCATAGAAAATGGAGCTTCTCATTTTCCAGGCCTTTCTTTCCCCCTTTTTCCAGTATTTCCCCACACACTTCCTTGGACTTTGCACAGAACGAGATTCTGGGATAGACAGAGGTGAGCACAGCCACGGCTGAGGAGCTTCCAGTCCAAGCAGCAGAGATGGACAAAGGGAGGGATTTGCCTCTCCAAGGTCACCCAACGCAGTGCTGGTGGGTCAGCATTGCTGCCTCTTCACCACGCGGCGCCTCTCCTGTCTGTCTGTCCTGCAGTAATGAGACTTGGAGCACAGCCAGCGCTTTTCTGAGAGCCTGAAAAGTGCCTCGCGCAGCCCAGTGCAGCCATAAGTAGTAATTTAAACTTAACAATAACATTAAAGTGGAGGCATGCCACTGAAGATGGGACACATTCAGCAGCACTCAGAATCCTGAACCAATGTCTGTCTTCTGGTAGAACGTACGGTTTGTCTCCCGAAGTCTGGGAGATCACTGCTGGCCCTGATAATCGCAGCTTTGTGCTCTGCAGAAGGCAAAGTGGCCTGAGCAGAATTCTGCCCAGTCTCTGCTCTGACATCTCGTGCCTGCAGCTGGCGGCTTTGGTCAGTGCTGGAAGTCTTTCTGCAGCTCAGGAGAATATCTGGAAAGAATAAATTAACTGCGGTGGTGTAAGGAGCTGCTTGGAATAATGTTTTTTGCAGAGATAGGCTTTGATTGACACTTCAGATCTGCCTGACAATCTTTTATTCTAAGTGCAGTTGCTGCCTTTCTTCAGAGCAAGAAAAGCTGGTTTGGTTGCTGTCCTTCAAATGATGGATCTTATCACATGGGAAAAAGAAGAAAAAAAGCAAACCACCTGCAAACAGCCACAGGTATAGCATGAAAAGAGGTAAAACTAACCGGATCTATTTGAGGTGTTTCTGTTTTTTCCCTCTATGGAATAATCCAGTGCAAGATATAAAAGAAAAGAGGCTGCGCTCTGAGGAACAAGAGCTGACTGTTCTTTTTCTTTGACTATTGTTCTTTCCTTCAGGAGATTTTTAATGCTTTACAGATAGGACTGTGCCACTTCTCAGGGATGGGAGGACCAGGGAGGACCAGAAAGGCAGTCCTGTCTCTTACTCACTTGTCCCCTCTGCTTCTTTGACTGCCCATCCCCCCCACATTGCCTCTTACTCCTCAATTTCAGGCATCCCCAGTGATTGCTCAATGCTGTGATCACACCACTCAGCAGCTCACAGAAGAGATGAGCTCTTTTTACACATTTTACAACATAATTTAGACCTTTGGGGTTTACCTGACTCTGGTCAAGAAGCAGATTGGGTCTCCAAAGGGCCAAAGACATGCTTCAAATCTTCTGAGCACCACTCAGGTGGTGAAATAGGTCTCAAGTGAGATGTCCTGACTCTCTTTGCTCATCTAGGTCCACAAAAAATACAGCCAGGCTCTTTGGGCTGCAGAGGGCAGGGCTGCTGCTGTATGTGCAAGTACCAGGAAAGATGCTGATAGTAAGAACTGCTCTGAAATAGAGGACTCTCTTTTTCTCTGTTAACACAGGTGTGGACAAGACTGAGGACTAAAGCTGAAAGGTGTGCAAGCTCCCATCTGCGTGCCAGCCTGGGCGTACTGCAAGGTGGAGACATCTGCAGCTTCATGTGCAGCACCACGGATGGGCTTTCTTCTTGTCAGCAGCGCTTATCTTCGGGATCCTCCTATTGTTGGGGCATCACCGAGAGCGTTATTGTTTGCTCTTTGCTGCTGCGTTCACCTCTACTCACAGCTGCAGCCAGGCCTTCCCAACCAGCTGCTTTTCCTGAGCTGCAGGACAGAAGACAAGCCCAGGCAGGGCCATCTGCAGCAGCTGCTGTGCTCCAGCAGGGCAGCCAGGCTGAGGCACGCTGCAGTTCTGCTCCTCCCCTCTACCCGTCGCGGATGCATCGAGCGCTTCTGTTTACAGGGCCATCAGTCTGGCAGCTTTCCTCAACACTAAATTTACTTTTTGAAGTTACATCAGTGTTGTACCCAGAGGGAATGGAGGAACAGATGCAGCCTGTGAAGTCTGGCTTTAATTCACCTGCCTCATTTAATTTCCTGCCCTGCCTTCTAATCAATGAGTCTGCACTGGCAGCCCTGGGAATACAGAGGTTTTCTCACATACAGGAGACCTCAATGTGGTGGATCTCAGGGTCTCCAGCACGCTGTGTCCCATCTCCTTTGAGGCTTTCTGTACCCCTGAAGCACCGCACACATGTAGTGGCTGCATCTCCTCCATGAGGCCACTGGTGGTCCTTCACCGGGACAGCAGCATTACATCACCTCAGAGCTGTTTGCCTCAGATTCTCGGGAGTGTCAGGAAACACTGCAGAAAGGGGCCGGGGCATTTCTGCTTTGTGAGCAGGCTCCCATTGTCCTGTTTCTTTTTTTTTTTTTCCTTGGGCTCATGTTAATTCCAGGCAGTGCTGCCCAGTTGCTTAATCAGCCGGAGTCTCCAACTGGGAGAGAAGGAGAGAAGGCTGCCCTTGGGTGGCAGCACTTATTTTGTGACGTGTCTGCTTCACCTCATGTATTATAATCTGTATCAGATTGCTCTTTGCTTGCTAAAATGGACAATTAGGATCCAGTTGTAATGCAAATTGCACAGTGGAATAAAAACCATGGGGAACCAAATCACAAATAAGTATTTATGTCAGCCTTTGTTACTGCGTGATGGGTCCTGCTCAGTTGCTGCTCGCTGCGAAGCATCAGACAGAAGAGAACCCGGTGTGCCTTTGTGTTTTATGGGCACGAGCTGCTCTGTGTAAGACTGCCTGTAGGCACTCGCGGGCCCCGATAATGTGTGTGTGTGCAAACCTAACAGACAGATTGCCGCCCACACTGGAAATTTGATGATTGCCTTGTTTTTTCCACAGCTCTGTTTTCTATACTGCAGGCCAAACCCATGGGGTAATTTCCAGTCTCTGCACAGGGCTGAGATGACGTGGTGAGAGAAGTGTGGAGATGCTGAAATTTCAATCTGCCACATAATGTGCTCCTAATACTGATGTCCTTGTAAGCATGTTGTTGACATTGGTGGTGTTGCTGTAGTTCTTGTCACTGTTGTCTTTCCTACATCTGATGCGAAGCATTATAAGTTAAGAGAAATATTTAAATTTATAAAGGAAACTATAGTTTCTTTGGAATTAATCGCACAGCAGTCCTGCAAATGCACATGGAAGAGGTATGACTTCATTTAAAATGCCAAGCCTTACTGATATAATAGTGGTATGCTGCTGGTGTAGCTGCTTTTACTGCACATCAGCTTTGCATTTCCCCAGGCCCTGGGTAACAAAGAGTTGAGGTACATGTTTTCATAGCAAGACTCATCTCTCAGCACTCGAAGGAGGACTATCCATGCTTCGCACGTTGATGGCTGATAGACAGAAGGCAAATTAAGGGTCAGCTAAGCCTGTCCAGTACCTGTAAGATCCAGAGTGACTGTAATGACCTTTCTTGTCCCACTGAAACAGTGACTCCTACAAGAGAGCAAGGAATAAGAGTGAGGCCATGAAGCCAGATGGACGGGCTGGGATCAAAGTAATCCGAGAAGCTATGGCAACACAGCTCGTATATCTACTCAGAAAAGCCTTTGCAACTGCCATTAATGACTCTAAATGGCCTTATTTTCCCAGTAGCAGTGAAATAAGCAGCTTCAGTGGGGAGAAGTAAATCCATCTGATGGCCCATGTTGCTGGGAATAACCATCTTATTAGTTATTAGTAATAACCCAATCTATTGCTAGCAGTGTAGCCATCAGAACAGAGATAGCCTTATCTGCCAGAGAATCATTGTGTTGCTCCTAACGTTTCTAATTGCAGCTGAACAAGGGGAGTCAGAAAGGCCTCAGGGGAGGAAGCAAAAGACAACACAGAGAACTTGGCTTAAAAATAACGTGTGTGACAAATGAAATATATCAGAGCCAACACATCGTTTGAAGAAGAGCTGTGCCAGGCAAGACTGAGCTCTTTCTGTTTTTATCTTCTAAGCCAACGCACAGTGTTCACTCCTGGTGAAGGGATGGTGGCAGTGCTGGCTTGCGAGCTCATCTTCTGAAGGAGAGGGGCTTCTGTACCTCGGTCTGCAGCACAGCAGCTGATATGTGACACTCAGGGCTCCAGTCCAGGATTGAGATGAAAATTCTCCATGGAAATTGATGACAAAGCACCTGATCACTCCACCACAGCAGGGGTGTTCTCACATGGCAACGCCCTGGGAAATTCTCACTGAGAATAGATCAGATTCTGCTCTCATTTATGCAATTATAAATCCAGTGTAGTTCCATTTGAAACAACTGTTTTCATCCAATGCAAATGAGATCAAAATCTGGCGCAGGCTGTTTTTGTACACAATGGAAACTGACTGAATTATGGAAAACAGGAAACAAATCTAATGTAAATCTAAATGGAAATATCATGCTCTCTCTTACATCAGAATAAATTGGAAGCGAGTCTGTTGAATCTAATGGAATTCATCTGGATTTACACCAGACTTGGCTCAGCATTTGTCAGTTGGTTGCACACCGACATCAAAACGCAAACCATGCTACCTCATCTGAATAGCTTTGAACAATCCCTTCCTTTTCCTTTACATTTAAGCAATTGCCTCTGCATCCTGATAGCTGATTAGCCTTTTCAAACAAATAAACCTCTGCAAACAAACATCAACAAATAAGCCCTGCTCTTGCTAGCACTTTCAGAATATAAATGATGAGTCTCAAGTATCACGCTTGGATTTGGAGTCACTTAAACTTGCTCCTGTTCCTCTGTGTTCACAGAACAGTGCAGCAGATTGAGCTCAGGTACAAGAAAAGCACTGCTATTCCACTTTCCTTAGCGCATCCTAAATTTGTCTTCCCACCAGCAGTGGTCAGAGCCAGCTCTTTCTGTGGGTACACGGGAGGCTTTTTGCAGATAAGCAAAGTATGGCCATACTTCTGCTCTGGCTGCATTCAGATGGTCAGAACGGAGCTGTAACTCTTCCAAATGGATCTGAACAGGAAATCGTGCCTCTCTCTGTCCCCACAAATTTCTGCTCCTCTCTGTGCTTCTGTGCAGCTGGCAATGGGAGCCTGTTGCTCATGGGGAAAATGAGAGCACTAATTAATGTCTGAGCTGCAAAATAGACTTCCTGGATGAAAGTCACTGGAAAAGGACAGTGTCTGAGTGACACGCAGCCATGGCAGCCCCTTCTCTAGAATATCAGTTACCCCAGCTCCTTACATAATTCACGTTTTAATATGCGTTGTGTTTCCCTTTGGATAATCAGAAAAGTGTACCTTAACTAAGACAAGAAGACACACAAACAAACTGAAGCCTAATTTGATGTGACTCAGGGAGGGACAAAGCCATTATTCAAATAGAAATCCTGCTGGTAACCACCCAAAACAGTAATAACAGATATGGAGAATGTTTCAAAGGTGAAGAGTTCAGTGGAAGTTAGGTAGCCATTTGCTTGGACTTCCTTCTTCAAGGACTCTGCTGCTCATCTGCAACCCTCTCGTGGGCAGCAGAGGTTGGGCAGCAGTGCTGTCAACAAGGCTTGTTTCTACTTCTCTCTTACTGTTTTTCTGTGGGATACCGAGGAAGTTAATTGGCAAGGTTTTCACAAATGGTCCCTGTGTACGACTGCTTCCCTGTGTTCCACATGAGACGAGCAATCGTGCTTTTCTGGGTCATTAGCAACAAAGCACACGTGGATCTCAACCAGCATCTGAATGTGCCAGCTACGACCTCTCAGGGCCTTTATGTTCCCTTCTGTAAGTTGTTATAATAAATACTTGCCTGATTTTATAAAGCTGTACAAGACTCTCTAACGAAACAGAGGCTTTAAAAGAGCTGTGATTATTTTATGGCTTATTCTTCCTTAGGCTTACTCCTGCGGGTCAGCTATACTTAATTTATAAGAGCTTTCTCACTGCTGGCACTGCAGATTTTCTGTGGCATGTAAAGTCTTGCTATCTCATTTCTGTTCTTCACAGAATCACCTGGAATAAAAGCCCTGACAGTTGTTGATACACACAAAAAAGCTCCAGTTAACTTGTTGCTCACAGTCTCTATAACTCTGTTTGCTGTGTACCAAAGGCTTATTTTATCCATGTCTGCTTGGAAACAGAAAGAAAGCAGAAGTGAGAAGTAAATGGGCCTCAGAGAAGTATCTCAGCTGACTTCTGTTAAGAGATACCAATAGACAGGAGCTAAGGATGAAGGCCAGGAAAACGAAAGCAAGACAGTATGAGGTACAAAGCCTCTGGACCTGGGGTGGTTCCTGCTCAGAATGAGTTATTTCCCAATAAGTGGACACTTCCAAAATGGCAATCTCACCCATCTGGGAGACGAACGCCTCGGATGCACATCTCAGTGACCTGTGCCATTCTTGAAACAATCCCTTTTCATGGCGATAGTTTGAGGACTTTCCTACTCTCTGTTTACTTCCAAGGTCATTTTCAAGGTTTGAATTAAAATATTTAATTGTGAAAGAAGTCACAGTGTGTTTCTTAAATACAAAGCCTTTGGTGACAGCTCTTGATTGTGAATCGAAGAGTGCTTACAGGGAACAGTCTGGAATATTTTATGTGATTTTAGTTCTTCTGAAAGCAAGTGCTTGAAAACCATATGCTGAGAACTGAACTGATAATGTGCATGGATCAACGTGTACAGAGACTGTTGGGTACAGAGGGAGAAACAGGAACGTAGGAGTGCCACTCATAGACTGACGAGATACCAGCATTAGGAATAAGTGGAGAAAAATAGAAAGGAGGAGGAACTGGAGCCTTGTTTTATAGCCCTAAGCACTGAAAACCACTCTTACTGAAGGGCATCCATCCATAGCACTGCAGTGAGGTCCATTGGAAGGAGGCCTGGATCCCTCACTCAGGGAGATGTTCAGAAGGAGTCTGAACATGGTGCCATTTAGTATGACTGAGGACAAGGAAGAGAGTATGAAAACAACTTGAGGTTTGAGCTAGGGCTAGTTTAATCTCTGGGCACACTAGGCCAGGCCTGCTATTACTGGCTTCTGACAACTTCCTCTGAAGGTTTTTGAGCAGCAAAAGGATTCTGGAAGAGAAGAGACTCCTGCTGCTAAGCCTCCACCATCAGTGGGGAGGTGACTTTTTTTGTATCTTCATCGTAAGTTGTTGGTTTTCCAGCCTGTCAGTGCAGTGCCTTTCTCCAACTGCAAGTAGCTCATTTCAGTCAGGAGTTATTCTGGTATATATGAAAGAGAAAAGAGCTTCCTTTTTTCTTTAAAGGAGAGAAGAAATTGTCTTCCTGGCAGAATCCTAGTCAAGATTATCAAATGCTGGTAGAACTCCCTAAAACCATTAATTATGATAACACCAAAAGCAGAAGAACCTACCCTGAGAGATAGCACAAGGGTGTGCTTGGTGAGACGCAGGACTGGACCAATTGCAGGGACCTGAGGAAGGACCACCCCACCAGGGGATGCTTGAATGGTTCCATTCTTTCCTATTCCAGCTTCTGGAGGCTCAGACTGCAGCAACTCTTTTCTTCCCTGTCCCTGTTGATTGCATTTTGTTTTTATTTTCTTTTCCTGTGAACATGGAAGGGATGGAAAAGTGATCTACAAGGCAATTTCCAACCTGTTTTCCTATCTGTCTCTCTGCTCTGTACAAAGTTGTTTTTCTTGGGGAAAAAGTCTGAAGATAATTCCTTTAAGTGGCAATTAAGCTCCAGGTGGCTGCAGAAAACTGTAGCTTTCCCCAGATCCTGCAGAGAGAGAGAACCTGAGCCACAGGTTTCCCTGCTTCCCTAAACCAGGGCATTTTTTTCCTGTGTTTGTTTTGTGCCTTTTGATGATTGCATGGTAGCCCAAAGTGATCGGAGCAGTGGGGAAAACGAGAAGCCAAGGATGCTCCATAAACTGGCTGTGCCCTCTTTCAGAAATGCACTGATTTCGAAGAGCAGGGAACAGTCTCACAATCCTCATTTCATCTCTTTGTGTTTCACCTCTGTTTCCAAGCAGAGTCCAGTTCAATATCTCCTTGTATTCTGCTATGCTGGCAAATACTGGAAAGAGGCCTTTGATCACGTTGGACTGATTACCATGGGCTAATGGGAGAAACTTGCGCTCTGAGAGTCAAAGTGAGTCTCATCAGCAGAACTGTGTGATCTGTTTGGCTCATTAGTTAATGAGGTTAATGAGGACACCTGTATGAGCTGTCTGATATGGGAGGGAACGTGTCTAGTCATAGTGATTGCTCAAAATGACACAGAAAATCACTGGCAGAGCTGGGGGCAAACAGAGCACAGCATGGCACAACTTTGCCTGCTCCAGGTCTGCAGCCACCCCAACCACCCTCCAGAGCAAATGGGAACAGCTGTGAGCAGCTTAGGTTGAAAGTATTCTCCATTATCAGTGAGGCTCATGAACCTTCAGAGAGCTTGCAGTGCCTCCATTTGCAAGGGAACGTGAGCCACCGACTCGGCAGGTCTCCCTTTCACAGACAGGCTTAGTATCAATGGCATCAAATAATGGCATGTTACCATTTCTACCCAGGTTTAATGATTTAACACTTCTAAATTATGCACCATTGGTGACAGTAATTTTCCCTGATTTCAGCAGGTGGACGGAATTGCAGTTCTCTCTGTTTGGTGTGCTAACATAATCAGAATTAATATTTTGTCTTGTCTGGCTTATCTTAGCTAGACAGTTGCTATTATTTCACCTACTCTGTTTCTCTTCCCCCTCCCTGCTATAACTAAAATAATTCGATTCTGAGCTATCCTTGGAGCAAGACTCACCTCAAATCCAATTTCAAATTTCTTGACTGGAATCTGAGCTCAATGCTACCAACCTCCACCACGTCCAAGCGCAGTCAGAAACGCGGTGGGATGGGTCAAGCAGGGAAACACGTTTCGTGGGTCGCTGCAGAAACCTGTACACAAAGATGCACAAGTATTGGGGCCTCTGTTTAGATTCAAGCTAGCACTGGGCAGAGGGAGTGAGAAACTGCTTCCCACCTGCCAGCATGGCACTGGCTCCTGCGCCCCGTGGAGATCGTGGTTATGTCCCTATGCTGTCTGCAAATGGGCATTCCTGTGGCTCCTGCTGCGTGGCTCTGAGCGTGTCTGCACACCTTGCTCAGCGTGTGTGCTGGAAGCAAGCTGTGAAAGCAAGGATTTGGTTACTTGTAATGCTGTCCTTTCTTTTTCTGGTGTGTTCCCACTCGTGCTGGATTACAGTCACCAGTGCCGGGCTCTGCCTCCCAGTGTGGGATGCTGTGCTGTGTTAGATTCTATACATATTGCATTGTTTGCCTTCTTTTTGCTCTTCCTCTCTCTGCTCATGGTTGTTTGTTTTCTCTTCATGTGTGGCATCAAAAGGACGTTTGAACAGGAGCTACCCAGTCTGAATGAAAGGGGATGTTGCTTTTGGAAGATCCAACAGAAGCCTGAGCAGAACAGATACTAAATTATGAATCAGCTTGAGATTTTTCTTACCTCTTTTTTCTCTTTATTTTTCCTTGTTTTTATTTCCTCCTTCTGTTTTCTTAACCCTAATTAAAATGTGCTGGGCACAAAAGTGTAAGGATAGACTCCTCACTTTCGTTTATGGCAAAACCCCAGCAGAACAGAACTCAAAATGGGCTCTGGTTGAGTCCCATCTCCCCTCATAAAGATAGTAATAAATATCTGTCACACTGATTTTCCTTTTCCATGAACCCTTTGCTCTACGTTCTGTGTACTGTGTTCTTCTCTCAGGTTTCTTTTGCTCTAATTGTTCTATTATCTGTTAATTTGTGTTGAGTTTGTAATTGAGATCCTAAGAAGGAGTTTAAGAGGATCCCCCTTGGGAAAACATCTGACCTACATGAAGAAAGAGAAAAAATAAAATAAATAACCCAAGCCATCGAGGCCAACTGCTCCGTTTACCTGGTGGAGCCATTTCTTTTATCAAGGGCTCTCATCTACCCCGGGCTCAGTTCTCTTTCTGTAATTAGTTCTGCCTATGTGTTTTTAACCTGCACTTTATTTTGCATCGATTTCCTTGCCTTGGGGAACACCTTTGTCTGTTGATTCCCCAGGCCTGATTTCCCATTACCTGCAGTTGACTGCAGAACCACTGTCACCATCAGAGATGCTGCAGGCCGTGGCAGGATGTGACCCCTTTTCTTTTCCCATTTAGGTGCTGCTGCAAACACCCGTGGTTTATCCTGGCCCAAGCGATGCAGTGCACGCTGGTGGTGATGCAGAAGATCACAGCACACACGGCAGCTGCCTAATTCCCCCTGAGTTTGCAATGGAGTGCAGCATGGACGTGGCCAAATGCCTCCTGCAGACAGCCTGGCAAGGGGTTCAGCCGGCCTCAGGCACTGCTCACCTGCTTTCTACCCACTGCTGGCCAGCTGATCCGGGCTCTCCATGTCCTGAGCACTCGAACTTCCCGTTCCCCTCGTTCGGTCGCTGCTGCAGGGACGTACTGCAGATACACAGAATCCATTACTGCTGGCTCACTGCTCCTGTTCCCCAGTCTCAATAGATAAAGAGTTCTTATTGTTTTCTTAATGTCTCTTTGTAGTTTATTAGAGGCCTAGGAGGCACGAGGGGGAAATGAGAATGTGACTCAGAAATCCCAGTTCAGAATCACGTGCTTCCTTTGCAATCTCATTTGTAACCAGACTATTAAAAGTAAATTATCTGAGCCAAGTGGCACTGCTGAAGCGTGAGGGCTGGGGAGAGGGAAGCAACACCCCACTGGGTGTCTCCAGATGCAAGCAGCTTATCTCAGGCAGTTTAATCTGCCCCTTTCTGCCCACACTGGGGTTACTTTGGGATGACTGTTGGCACCGACAGTTGTGGACACAATTCCCACTCCAGTCCTGATGAAAAGTGCCCCCCAGGCTCGGTGCGGGGCTGTCTTTGGGCTCTCGACACGAAGATGGAGAGAGGAGAGGGAGGTGCCCACGTGATGTCAGCTCTGCTCTCCCTGATGAAACTGCTGCCGGAGAGGCTGTGAACTGATGGCTCCACTTGTCTCACGTTTCCATGGTATTTCCATCACACCTGTTTCCAGGGACACCTAATAAATTCAAGCAAATTGGGATGAGGGATTATCAGGCATTAAATGACGCTACTGAGCCAAGCCTCTGCTCTGCTCATTGTGAAGGATTTCTATTTTCTCCCGGGACTGATGCAGCACAAAGCGGGGCAGGGTGAGGAGGTGGTGCTGGCACGTCTGTGCCTGTGTCACGCGCTGGGGCTGCTCCAGGTCCTGGCTCGTCTCTCGGTTAAGGTCAGGTCCTGTTTCTGTTGAAGCAATTTCATATCTCTCAGTGGGAGCCGGATCAAGCCTTCAAGGAAAGAAACACCGCTTTAGTTCATACAAGTGAGTTCGACCTTTCAAAAGTCCCCTTTTAACCCTGCTATTCTGTTCAGGAATTGCTCTGAGTCCATCTATTGACTTTCCATGGAAAGTGAACACATCTGTGTAAAAACCCTGCTGCTGAGCGCTCCGTAAAGTAATTCTGACACTCCCATAGATGCTGAAGAAAAAAAGAAAGTTCTGCTTCTCAGTAAAAGTAAACCAAAATTGCATTTGATGAGTACTATGAAATGTTTATAGATTTTTATTTTTTCCTACTTTGGCCAAAACATCTTCTTTTTTTCCCCACAGAGGCCAGAGGCAGAATTTTTACAGGGGAGAGGGGAAACATTTCTTTGAAAAATATTTGTGCTGAAAATCATTGCAAATTTGTAAGCTTACAAATGCGTCTCAATAAGTAATAGCAGAATTTTGGCAGCATGTAAAAAGAGAGAGAAAAAAATCCCCTCCAAACTCCAAAGGATTTATGGCTTGTTTCAGAACAACAAACAGAATCTAAGTTAGCTTTTCTGAGCATTTACTAGCTTCAAGGTTAGAATGAAGCAGAACCTGTGCAGTCCTGTGGAAAGTAAATCCAGTTTTCTAGGTTTTCTGGGACAGAGAGAATATGGAAATGTTCCCCTCATTTTTAATGAAAGCTGAGAAAATCTGCGTCACAAGAAGCTGAGCACTGCAAAAGGTTTCCAAAGCAGGTGAGGAGGTAGCACTGCACACACTGCGGCCACGAGCAACAGTTCTCTGGGATAACTCACAACAACTGATAATTGCAACAAACTTAAATATTCACTAACCAAAAATGTATGAACTATTTCTATGTATAAGCTCCACAAATTACATGATCCCCGCTTCCCTCTGAAATCTCTTTCTTCCCGCTGAAGCTGCTATTTCCCTACCATGCCACTCTCATTCTTCTTCCTATGTCTGTCCTCAGCCCCTGATGGCTTTGCTCTCTCCATCCTATGCCATTTGTGGCTGGGTCTGGAAGGCTTTCTCAGGACATTTGCCTCATCCATCATTTAAGTTATCAGAAGGAAAGAATCCCAACAGTTTCCATCTACGAACATCCATAAAAAGCACCAAGCAAAAAAACCCCTCACCTTGAACTTCCCTTCCTGCTTTTCTTTTTTGTTTCATTTGAGAATCTGACTTGACAGTCTTTGCTCTGGCAAGAGTCCCACTGAAGTTATTAAGGGCAAGAGCTTGTCAGGATTAAGAGGAGAGATTTTGAAATATCTGTGAGTGGTAGCAATATCCCCAGATCTATTAGGCCGGATAAGTATTTGCAAAGGACATTAACCCTGGTGCCTTGAGCTAGATTTGCTGCCCTGGGGAAAAAGGAGATGACGTTCCCAAAGGGGACACTGCTCTATACCTGCCCATAATATGGTTTTCTATCTCTTCCTTTGCAGAGCTGAACTCAGACCACTTCCTCTTACAGTTTCCATCTGACCATTAGAAACAGCACTGTTAGAAATGAATGGGCAATAAGGAGCCTAAATGGGAGAGCGGATCAGGAAGGGGCCCTGGGCAGCCTGAGCCTTAGGGCCTGCAGCCCATGGCAGGGATGCGGCTGGAAGTCTGTAAGGTCCCCCCCAATCCGACCAATCTACGACTGAAATTCTGCTTCTGTGGGCCTGCAGTGCTGGACAGACTCAGGGACTGCGTGTGCTCACAGCTGGCACAGTGGAGGACGGTTCCCCATACGTGCAGGAACCCAGGCGCTGCTCAGGGACGCGGCGCTGCTCGCGCCATCGCTGCATCCAGGCCTGGCACCCGGCCCCTCTTGCCAGGGGAATCGTGGTAATGCGGATGTTAAAACCAAATAAACACTGAAGCAAATTTAAAACAAAAGCAGCGTTTCAGGGGCTGCGTTCCGTTCCCACCACCCACCACCATTTATAACTAATTTATATACCATTTATAACTAATTGGGGCTTTGTTATATCCTCTCACCCAGTGACAGATAAATACTGAACTCCACTGGTTAACAATAATCACCCTAATTATGCCAAGATGACATTTACAATACAGGCAATTGCTAATCCATTACCTCACTCTGCTGAATACTAGAACGCTCAAATTAAAAGTTATTCACCCACAAAGAACAATGTTTTAGTAGCTGACACAGCTTAGTAAAGGAATTTATTAAGGTAATTTGCAGTATTCCCATAAATAAAACATTCTAGAGTTCCCCCGTCCTCCTCCTCCTTCCCCCAAAATAATCTTTTGTGATAAATCTCCTTTTTTTTTTTTTCCTTCCTCTCTTGTTGCGCAGTTAAAAGAATAATAATTGGAACTGCCAGACATGTTTAAATTTGCTTACCTGAAAGACAGCAGAGAGCTGAATGAACGTCTCACCTGCCCTCGGGTTCTCGGAGGACTGAGATTTGGTGGTGTGAGCTGTGCAGGAGGTCGCTGCAGTCAGACCTTCACCGGTGACGGGGCTTTGGTGAAATCTGGGACGGAATGAGGAAGCGGCGAGCAGCGCTGAGACGTGCTGGGCAGAGGATGGTGGTCCAACCCAAATAACCAGGAGGGTCTGACCATCATCAGGGCGATGCTGAGGAGGCAGCCAGGGGGCTGTGGCTCTCCTGAAGCTTGGGTGCCAGTTCAAGGACAGGGCAAACGCAGAGGCCTCTGCTTAGGTGACGTCCTAAACCAGGAGCTCAGTGGGGTTGCCATGTAGCCCATCCCATTGCTAGCAGCCATGCTGTGGGAGCAGGGAGGCAGTTGGAGTTTTTTCCAGCACCTGGAGGTCTTTTACTTTTAGTGTTGCCTTCCTGACTCATGTTCCAACATTAAAACACTCACAATAGGGGAAAAAGCACTCATTTTGACAACCTGGAAAGGGAGGGAGTTCCATTGGAGCAAATGGAGGAGGAAGGGGTTAAATACACACAAAAATCAGAGCTGGGTTTCATTGCATCCCCTGAGCAGCCCCTTGCACCTGGCGCTGGCAAAGCCTGTGCCAGCAGCAGATCCAGCCAAAGGATAGAGCAGGAAGGGATTTGGGGGGTTTGGTTTTTATTGCTATCACATCAGCAACGGCCAAAGCTATTTGCAATAAAGCAGCAAGTCACACCACGCCAAAGGCCCTGCTGGCACATCCCCACTGCGTGTCAGCCACCTGCAGCGCTCAGCCCCGCAGCCCATGGGAGAGGGACAGGGCAGCACCTCCTGCTGCTGGCCGCCACGCCGGCAAGGCCTGCCTTGCTCTGTGCTGCTTCACAGCCATTCCATCCCTGGCTGGAGCAGGGGAAGTTGCAGCAGCTGGGATGGCAGCGGAGCGATGCACACGCAGCCGTGCCCCCGCGCGCTCTGCAGACAGAGCTCTGCTTCGGCTTGGATGCTCCTGTCCGACGGAGACGGATCGCAGGAAGGCAGCTCTTGTAAACAAAGATCTGCAGGCCTTGTAATCACCACTACTCCTCCTTCTCCACCAGCTCAATTAAGAGACAATGTTTTCCTGTTCACCCGCTCTGCTTTTATGCGCTCTGTCTCATGCTGCTGTGCAGCTTTCCCCCCTATTCTTCTGCAGCTGAATGCTCATGGATCAGGCTCTGCTCCAGCACTGAGCTCCCAGTGCCAGGCACGCACCCAGGGCACGAACGAGACGACTTCCAGACCTGCTCCTGGGACAATGGGAGCTTTCTTTCCTGAGAAAAGGACTCAGCAAAGCAAAAATGAGTGAGGAAAAGGTGTGCCATAGAAGATAAATCTTTAAAATGCACCGAACCTCAGGTGGGGGGTGCTTCTATTTGGAGAGAAAGTGGTATTAATTTGAATGAACTTTATTCTTTCCCAAGGAGGGTAAACGAAGCCTGATTAGAGCCACTTGAGTTCTGACTAAGAGAGTTTGCTGGGGTGCTAATGGGCAGTAACAGGTGGCAAACAAAGCCAGGTACCGCTCATCACAGCGGGGTTCAAACTTCAGCACTTAACTTCTCGTGATCTGAAAACTATATTTCCACGTATAAACCGACAACCCAAGTTTGCACAGCACACGAGGACAGAATCATAGCATCATTAAGGTTGGAAAAGGCCTCTACAATCATTCAGTCCAGCCGTCTGCCTCCCCCCACCGCCACCTTTTGTCCCAATCTCATTTTCCCCACAGCCCCCAACCAACCCCCTGCCCAGCCCGACCCACAGCTCTGCTCTTAGGCTGCAGCACTTTGGGGTGCCCGGCTCTGCCCCCCGTCCTTCCCTGGGCACATCGATGGATCCCAGTGAGATCTGAGCCCAGTGCTGGGGCTGTGGGCACGGCTGCTCTCCATCTGCAGTCCTGCCCCCACTGATAAGGCAGATAGAAGGCTCTGCCAGCCTGAATCCTTTGTTATTTGCTCTGACTGTGAATCCGACTTTCGGTGGTGAGAAAGCACTACTGCTCGCTATGTTTGACCCCACTTAGCCTGTGACATTAGCAATGCAGAAAATTCACAGTCCCACCAAAAAACAGGGAAATCGTAATTGCATCTCCACTGACAGATGCTGGTTGTTGAACTCTGAGGAGCAACAGGGGATTTTGTGCGCTCTGTTCTTAAAGGCACAGAGAGACGGAGCTCCTTTGTTCCTCTCTGCCCTGAGTTACTTCTGGTTTTCCCATCTCGAGCTGCTCGCTCTTTTTCTGCCAAGCTTCTGCTTCCGTGGGACAGGGCCTGGTTTTGACAGAGCGCACAGAAGTGATGGAAAAGAAAGAATGAAAGAAAGGAGGCAGAGAAGGAAGGAGTAGCATTAAAACCAACAGTTCCTCTTCCTTTCGTTTTAGGTCAGAAAAAGTCTTCCCAACTTTACAAAAGGCATATAGGAAAAAAAAAAAAATCAGTAAATTCATGAACATGCAGTTATTACTTAGCAGACAAATTACATTTCTTCCGAAATGTTCCAAAATGCATTCATTTTCAAAGTACATTACTTTCATAATACTGTGTGGAACATTAAATGAGAATTTCCCTGACTTGGCTACAGAGCACATTTTTATATTTCATAGTCTGACACAGAGCCCAGGGTAACTAATGAAAATCTTTTCGAAAAGTGACAATCTTGTCTAGCAGCCTTGCCTGTTGAAGAGATTGCAACATAAAACAGATGAGTGCCCTGCTTGACAGCTAATTGTGTCGGGCTTAATTACAACAAGCAGGATTTAATCGGCTGTGCAGCACAGTTTTTTAGGAAGGGGGAACCATCTGGAAGGTACCTTGCTCCCAGGCTGCTGGAGGGGCAAGCATCGCTGGATTTCAAAGACAGGGGAGCGACTGTGCAGATTTAAATGCAGCAGAAGTTCCTTCCTTGGTGTATTTCGTTTGGGCTGTTTTATGAATTTCATAGATATTTATGCAAACCTGTGCACTGCTGCCTCGCGAAGACAAGGTTTTGGAAGCCTTCCCAGGCTCAATCTGATGAGCCTCATTCCTCTCTGTGGCCAAACCTCGACTCTGAGCTGTCAGCTTTCAGGTCGCTCCCTGTGCCCTGCACTGCTGCCTCGGGCAATGGGGCACAGAGCTGTGCTGCAGGCAGGGGAAGTGCTGCAGAAGTGCAACTCTGCTCGGTGTCCTCAGCCCATTCCTCACAGCCTGCCATGAGGTGCCCGCTTGCCAGGATCTGGGCAGCTGCACCTAAGTTGGCCTCAGAATAAAAGGTGGAAGTGTCCTAAGCTGTGGGTCTCCAGGAGCGCCTGGGCGCAGCAGCAGGGAGTGATGGAGGCAGGAGGGCATTGCTCACACCCCTCTGGGGCTGAACAGGGCATGCAAGGAACGCTGCTGGGGAGGGGAATGCTGCACGCTGACCCTGATGAGGCTGAGGCTCCTGCTGCATGCTGGTAGAACGGGCTGCTGATAACACACAGCTCCTGAGTGCTGCAGGCTAATGCAGTCCTTCATTTTCTGCCCTGAATAGGTTTAATACCCAGCTATTAAAGTAGTCCTTTGTCATGTCAGAACATGGAAGAATGAAACATAAGTTCAAAGCCTTTGAACCACGACCAACAAAAGGCTCTTTCTAGCGCAGGAACCCTTCGGTGCCATATCCTGGATCTGTGTGCCGTGGGTGCAGCAGTGGGGCTGCTCTGCCTGGGGCCAGCAGCAGGAATAGGGCCTGGCCCCACACTGCCCTGCAGCCCTCAGTGTGCGGCTGCTCACGCAGAGCTGCTGCTATTCCTGCCCACATGGCTCCCACCTGCTTCCCAACTTCAGCAGCTTGTTTTGCTTTGGCTCAGCTGTGAAGTTCCTTCACCTCACACAGAGTTTTTCTCGGTGTAATTGACTCAAGGCACCTTCCTCCTTTTTCTTTTCCCCTGACTGTTTTATCCAGCCTTCTGCAGTCTGATCTTGCTGCTGGGCTGACTCAGCTCTGACACTTCTCACCTCAACAGCAGAGCAGCCTGGACCCTGCATTCCAGATGTGCCCTCCCCAGGGCAGAGGGGAGGAGCACCTCCCTCACCCTGCTGGGCCGCTCTCTGCAACGCACCTCAGAGTGCTGCAGGGCACGCTGCTGGCTCCTTGCCACCCTGTTGGCCACCAGAACGCCCAGGTCCTTCTCTGCAGGGCTCCTTTCCAGCAGCTCAGCCCCCAGCCTGTGCTGATGCACGTGGTTATTCCTCTTCACATGTAGAGCTCTACACTTGCACTTGTTGAACCTCACCAGGTTCACTCCGCCCAGCTCTCAGCTCATCCAGCATGAGGGATGCAATGGCAGCATGACCTTCTGATGGTCGGCCAATCCTCCCAGCTTCAGATCGTCCAGGTCCACAGGGAGAAGTCCCTGCCTATAGCAGGGGGGCTGGAACTAGATGATCTCAAAGGTCTCTTCCAACCCAAACCATTGTATGATTCCATTCTATGATTCCATGACTGCCTTCAGTTGCAGACCTGTAGAACAAACTGCTATATAACCGGTAGCACAGGGGCCTGCAGCACGTGTTGGGTTGTTGCCTGGCATCACCTCCTTCAAACACTTTGGTGAGAGGCTGCCGGTGATCCGCCCTGTGGGGTTTGGCAGCCTCTCAGGATGGCTGTGAGCAGGCAGCACCGCATAGCACCGCATGCAGCACTGCAGCGTTCCCACACCTCTCCTATAACCTTGGGCAAAGCACTCGCCCTTGCCTTTTCTGCCCCTTTGTTAAACGAAAGGAATGAGACCATCTGCAGGAAAAGGCTTTGAGTTCTCTAGAGAAGCACCTCCTGCTTCTCACACACATTGCAAAACCTTCCTTCTGTTTCTTCCCCTCTCTCCTCTGTAATTTTCAAGCCAATAATCATTAGCCATCCCCCAACGAGCTCCCCTCAAGGCAATTAGTACCAATATGCCCATTTTACAACTGCAAAAACCAAGAGGCAAGGTCAGCCACCAGCAGACAGGAAGGCAGCAGCAGGGATTGCAGGAGAGCAGCCTGTTTTCCATTCCAGCATTCCTGCTTTGACCACCAGACCTCGCTCCTCTCAGAAAACATATCGGGGAGCGCCAGGCAGCACGCATTGTCCACAGCACTAATCTGCAGAGGACCACATTAATGCAACTTGATGTCAAGACGCCTTATCTACCATGAAGCAAAGAGGAAGATTAAAGGACTGGAGTTACAAGTGCCTTTTTGTTTGCACTAACTGGGTGAGTGTCTGTCTGGAAAACAGAGGCTTTCAATCTGAATTGCTGTCACGTTTGCCATACAGGAGTAGATTGGTCTCAGCACCCTTATTAAAAATACTACCAGCATTCTACAGCTGTGGCTTGAAGCTCCACAGCTCTCAGTAACGAGGTTGCAAAGTGGCTGCTGAACACCCGATACCAATCACTGCTTACCTTGGAGTAAACCTGAAGCTGCTCCCAGGTTCAAGCAAGACCAACACCAAGGACCTGGCTGGGGCTGCCTGATGCTGCTGCCTGTTGCTGTGCTGATGCACGTGGGTGTAAAGGAGGGTCAGAATACAGTCAGAACAGTCCTCACAACCACGTTGTACATTTGTACATTATTATTCCAGAGCATCTTTGAAGCCATCAGGGAGAGAATGGGCATAGAAGTCTGGATTAAATAAATAATAATAATTAAAAAAAAAAGGAGAGAGAAAAGGGAAAAGAAAGGATGGGATTGGAGAAATGCAATAAACAAAGGCAAGGAGGCACATGGGGCAGAGGGTTATCAAAGACTTTGGTTGTGCACTTAATAGTGCTTTGATCCCATAATGACGTGGAGGCACACAAACATGAATATGGAAGGCAGATACAGCTAGGATCAAACGTGCTTGGTGTTTTTTTCTTGGTGTGTGTTTTCACCTG